TATTTTGGCTTTAATATTGGCTCACTTATAGGGTCTTTGCATCGGAATTAAATACATTTATTCTAAAACCAGTTGTTGGCATGACACGAGTTATTGTCTTCTCATATATTTTATGATGGTATAATACTAAACCCCTAACGGGAGGGATTGTGCTTGACATTCATATGATGAAGACATAATCGTTCAATCAGTTTAATTGAGGTCTGGAGCTGGCATGTCAGTAACTGCTAGTAGTCCTTTAATAATTTACTGGTACGTATTATTGTCATTTTGTTTAGTTTCTTTTGTTACCTATTCTGACATCCGTCTCGGACTTCTCTTAAACTGAGTTTTACTGTGCGTATTGTTGTGTGATTGCTTTTTCTACATTGGCTAGAGGTAAAGGGGAGGGTTGAGATCTCAAAAAACATGTTTAACCCCGCCGCATTTTTGCGCCTGTCACAAGTCAGGAGCCTCTGGCCTTTGTTAGTCTTGTATGATTTATAATTTTAGTTTCTTGTGTATAATTCGGAGTTTAGTATGACGTCCATTATCACTGAACTAGTATACATATTTGTTTAGGGGCCAGCTGAAGGACGCCTCCGGGTGCGGGAGTTTCTCGCTGCATTGAAGACCCATTGGTGGCCTTCGGCTGTTGTCTGCTCTATGGTCGGGTTGTTGTCTCTTTGACACATTCCCCATTTCCATTCTCAATTTTATTATATGTCCAGTTGGAATAATTTTAACATGTTTAAGGCCTGGCATCCACTAGATATATAAAATGCATTTTGTGTTTCAGAAATATATAATTTTTTGGCATTTTGATGGGCATTTATTTTCTTTTCTGCAGAAGGTGTAAAAATAAACTAAGTAAGTTAGTTGGGATACAACTTTGAGATGCTCCCTCTCAGGTAAACACTGTATTGTATTGTTTTGGTTGTCCTTGATTGTCATGGACAATAGGTATTTACACATCTATAGGTGAGTTAAAGGGTTTAACTGAGTGGACAGTATCAAAGCAATTCATGTGTATGTTTATTTTTATACACCTGCTGCAGAAAAGAACAAAAATACCAATCAAAATCGTAATAAGATTATATCTTTTTGAAATACAAAATGAATTTAACTTTTATATATCTAGTGGGTACCAGGCCTTAACATTTTTCCAACTGCACAGGTAAGTCTGTATTCAGAGTAGTTTTTGACACCAGTGCCTGTGTAAAGCCATTTTTGTCCGTTTGTTATGATGAACAATAACAATAACAAGTAAACGGATACTATGTTGTGCTTACCTAAAGAACGATGAATGACGATAGAAACAATATTTTCTCAATAATGTACAAAATTACTTCGAAATGTTAAATCATGAACATACGAGGATGCAGGCGAACATATGAAAAGCATGGAAGAACGTAAGGAAACCGGAAGAATTGTAAAATTTAAACAATCCCTGCCTTCGATATGAATTCCGGATTTGTCATATGTTTAGATTTAATCATCAAATGTCATTCTTCTGTTTAATTATAATAGTGGATGTTTATTCATTACTTTAAATCGTATATAGATTTTCAACAGACAATGAGAGGGCATGGGTAGGAGCAGAGACATATAATACATGTTATAGCAGGGGCGGATCCAGCAATTTTTAAAAAGGGGGAGGGGTTCCCAACCCATGATAAAGAGGAAAAAGAGGGGGTTCCAACTTTATGTCCCCATTTAAATGCATTGATCGTCCAAAAAAGGGGGGTCCAACCACCGGAACCCCCCCCCCCCTTCTAGATCCGCCACTGATTATATGTTGCTGGTAAGAGGAGGTGTTATTACTATAACAAATTCCCTGAAAAAGTAAGTTTGTAAAATCTGTGACTATTATACTATATATATATATATTATTAAAATAGTAGAATAGTCCCATGAAAATATGAAAAGGAGCGGGATCTAGCCTTTGCTACTTCCGGTTTTCTCAATGTCACTTCCGGTTGTTTCCACATCAATTTTCAAAGTTATTGAAAAGAAGCTAGTTCCTGTTTACTCAAAGTTGGAATTGGCATCCCATCATCAGTTTCTTCATACTGATTCGATAAATAAGTGGTTTCTATATACTTTTGAGTAAAATAAGGGAGATAATGTGCTGCTTCCGGTGAAGTAAATGTCTCTTCCGGTCTCATATGATAGCTTCTGTCACACTGATTCCAAAAATATAGTTTTTATATACTTTTGCCTGTAAACCAGGAGATAATTGGCCATTTCCGGTTTTTTGAAAGTCTTTTCTAGTCTTTAGTGATAGGTTAGTGTATTTAAATTGCAAAATATATGGATTCCGAGTACTTTTCAATGAAGAAAGTGTAAACATGGATACTTCCGGTTTTCTTAAGGTCACTTCTGGTTGTCATTTTTCAAGGTCATATGTCACCCAACCTTTTGTAAAAGGTCATATGGCTTTATAATGAACCAAGTTGAAGTAATAATCAATTAACCTATAATGAGACATTTCAGGGGCACTAACTCCTATAAGATGCCATTAGATTGTTTCAATAAAGCAAACATTTTGCACTTGTTCTTTCATATATATCTTTGAAAGTATTGGAAAAATGCAAAAACAAGGAAAAGTCAAAATTGAGAACTTGACCTTGACCTTTGACCTCATTTTCTAAGTTAGGACCTAGGGACCTCAAATAAAAAGTTTCCATGGTTAAACGGTTAACGGTTTATGAGTTGAAAAAACATACCGACAAATTTATTTGGTAAAGGTAGATAAATCCTATAAAATTTCATCGAATCGCTTCGATCCAAATTAGCCAAAAATTTCTGAGGATGTAAGGAACTATTAAAAAAAGAATTTTGTCGATATCTTTTTTTGTTACGAAGGAGATGCACACACTTGATAAACAGTGAATAGGGAGATAACTCTTACAAAGAAAATTATTCTGCTTAGAATGTGTGAAAATAAAACGCGCATAAACTGTATGATACTATATAAGCAATAACTTTGCGACATACCGTATAGCGGGTTATTTTCGCGGGTGTAAAATTTCGCGATTTGGGGACAACAAAGTATACGAAAAATTTTGGCGGTTTTTATTTTGGTGGATTCCTAAATCCCAATTAAATATTTTGGTGGATACTGAAATTGTTGCAGTTAAAAAGTTGTAAAACTTGACAAACAAGTTTCTATTGTTATGGTTAATTAATTATTTTTTTTATTGGAATGACCTCTTATTTATTGATTAGTTTCTGATACAGTTATTCATTAGAATACCGCTAACTTAGATAATTATTTGTAAAATTCAAACGTCTTGTAAATTTTACAATTAATTAGATTTGACCGTACCTTTGATGTACTTACTAATTAGGTTACAAAATTATCATGAATGATTACAACTCTTATATAGTTTGACATTAATTAATATGGCGTAATTACCTGATAAGAGTACTTTACACTCTTATTCTAATTGACACTTACTAATAAGGGTATACACACCTGACAGTTATTTTATAAAAAACAATTATGTACAACGCCCTTTGGCATTTATCTGGTTAAAACTAACATATACCGTTATTGACCTGCCAACAGGGAAAAAGAGATCGTTTACAAAATCCTTTAACCATGTTAACCTCGAAACTACCAAACGTATGCATAAATTTTCGCGGAATTTATTTTCGCGATTTTCGTTTCTCCGCCAAAATAAGCGAAAATAAACACCCCGCGAAAATAACCCGCTATACGGTATTGCGAAACAAAAATTTTACGCGAGAACAAAATTTGGCGGAAGAAAAAAAATAATAATCAGAACAAATACAATAGGTCTTTCAACAGAAAAGTGGAAAGACCTAAGTATGTATTATTCCTTTATTATTAAGATTGAATATGCATTATAACAAGCATCATATGACTCTTCATATTGTTAATGTCAATAATGTGATGTTATTCATTACTATGAAAAAATAGAAAAATAAGAAATGTCATCCAAAGTGTTGATTCCTCTTTAAAGAAATACAATGTTTGGTAACTATGTTGATATCACCTATTAAATCAAACCTGAAATTTAATGTACTACCAACATCTTGAGGTCTACTTCATATTTCAATTACCACAAGGAAATTGACAGCAAGGGTCAGTTGCGAATTAAACTTAACAATAAAAGACATTATTTTTTCCCATTATATATTTACCATTTTTATGAAGCATCATTCTATCATTAGCAAATTTAGTTACGACTCCTAATTGATAAGATATTTAGGTTTTGCGTTCCTTACTATGTCTTCTCTGATAAAGCTTATGCTGTCTTCAAAAAGCTAATGAACAAAGAATTCTTAACCGTGAAATTTGAAGTACTCTTGTAGACTTTTTACTGACGTCATCAGTATTTGGTTGACCATTATGGTACATGTGTGTCATAGATTTGATCTACTTGGCCTAACCACAACCCCGTTCTTACCTTTCTGTTTATTACATCAGCGAATGCTACTTATCACCAGAAATTTACTCGCCGTGAACAACGCGATGGATGCAACTAGTGGAACAAAAACTGCTTACCTTTGCAGAGCCGCGAATTCATCCCAAAGTTTTTTAAAGTTTATTGTTCTCAACTATTTCATTAGTTTCCTGTGAAGTATTTTGTGGACTGTTTCTTGTTGGAATTTTTCTTTTGGCCATTGCTTGTCAGTCTTTTCTCAACTTATGGTTCTTGATTGTCCCCTTGGTATTGTCTTCCCCTTTTATATGTGATGCAATAATTTAGTCGATACTGCATGCACAATCATTGTGTTATTTAGAAATGGGTTTCATCATAGAAATTTATATAAAAAAAACTCATCAAAGATACCAGGCTTATAATTTGTTCGCCAGACGCGCGTTTCGTCTACATAAGACTCATCAGTGACGCTCGAATCAAAAAGTTTAAAGGCCAAATAAAGTGTAAGTTGGAGAGCATTGTAAGCCAAACAAACTGAAAGGTTTTGTCAAATACAGCTAAAGAAATACTATTTTTCTCAAATATCTGTTTTTTTTTCTTTCACAGACTACTATACGTCCGTACTGGTCAGGCTGGAATGACACCATTTCTGGTGTATATCGATATGTTTTTGAGGTTTGGAAGATGGAATACGTACCAGGGCAAGACGGTCTGCGGGAACCACTAATCACTTCGACAATAAATCCAGAACCTTCATTTATAACAGAAATAATGGCCGACAGCATAACATTTCCAGAATATACACCATCAGAACCAGGCGTGTATTCTTGTATTTTAGAGGTAAACGACAAGGCGAATAACTCTATATATGCAAGACGTATAGTAGTGTTCGATGATACGTCAGATATTAATGTTAACACATCAAAACGACTTTACATATCTACAGCTAGTACTGAAACAGATTATATGTGGCAGACCGAGTACAATGTAGATGGTGTAACTGATATCGATGTAGTCTGGACAGATCTGTTTTCAAATCATCTCCATGACAAAGAATATTTTCTCTCTAAGATATTAGCTTATGAAGCCCGGCTAAGTGACAAAATCAATAGACATGATTATAAGAAAATTCTCACGGAATTTGATGACAACGAAGGTGACAGAACATTAAATGCAACATCCCATCTAAGAGGAATTATTAAATTTGAAATTTCTCATGAAATTATTAGCAAGCCAAAAAGTGTTCCACCAGATTTTGGTTGGAGCGAAATCTCTCCATTGTCAGAAACTACATCATTCCAAATGACAACACGTACCATTGGTGACGGAGACTCTCACCAAGTCTGGATTCGTGCAACGGATGTAACGGGCAGAAATAATACAATAACAACAACTATTCATTTTGATAAGACTGGACCGCTTATTCATTTAAGTAATGTTGCCTACAACATCAATGGTGGATCACAACAGTTCACCAGTAGGTTAGTATGTAATGTCAAACTGGAAAAGATCAAACACTTTAACCTTTTGCATATTTGAATGTACATCATAGAAAGGTTCACATATCTTCATTAATTGAATTAAACTGTATTAAAAATACTTTCCTACTTACCTAAGAATGATATAATTTACTAGGGCAATGCTGCTAGCATTGACACATTCCCGAAATTTGAAAGTATATATATATGTTTGTTAATTATCATCAGGAATAGATACAGCAATATTTGATGGAGAAATACATTTAAGTTCTGAGTTATGTAAAATATATATTGAAGTGTCATAAAAAATCAGATCTACGAATAAATTGGTTACATGCATACAAATGGTACTTAGATACATCGTGCAACATTATTTCTAATTATTTTATTTCAATTTTACCGTAAATGAATTCCTAGACTGTTAGCACTTTCCTTATATTAAAGTACCCTGAAGTAATAGCAATATTATAGAAGCATTCTTGTCTACTTTAAATTATGTATCGATGTTTTATAACTTTAAATATGTTGTTTGCAGAATTACAGTTATTTCCCAAGACTTTCATAGTGGAGTGTTGAATGCTTCTTTTGAAATTGTTCTGAATGAAACAGGCGAAGTAAAGTTTCGAACAGACGTAATTGTCAATAATGAGGTAAATAACATTTTACGTATATCCAGAAAATAGAGAACAATACTTTTAAATTGAATAAAGAGTTAACCCTGAAAAGTGCATCGAAAATTAAATTTTATTTGTAGTTGCATTATTTTGAAATTTAGTTACATATAAAGATTTAAATTTTATACGAATAAGAACATTATGTTATCTGTTTCAGGACTAATAGAATGAAATGAAAATTAAAGCAAGAAACTGATGAAATGTATGATGCGTCCTTAAATTTTCCTTAAGGAACACCGTGTTCGTTTTAACAGGATACAGCATTCAAAGTTGTTTTCTCGACGAAAAAAGTGCCACAAAACGTCGAATTAAGCGTATTATAATTTCATTCTATCGTATAATGTCGATTTATGACGTTTTTACAACGAACTAGGTAAAAAAGGGATTAATACATAAAAACGAAGTCGGTGACTATAGGATTAACTTACATTATTGATTATTAAAACAGAAATTTATCTTTCGAAACAACATATCAAATTTCAAGAAATATCAATGCATTGTAATAGATTTGATGGAGTAAAGACAAATTTCAGAACTTTTTTATACAAATGTGCATCTATTTTGAAAGAATCAATGCAGCATGTTGAGTTATCGTTCAACGAGCGAAACTTTATGTAAAATTATACCAGAATCTGTGAAATAGCCGATTTACTGTGCATCGACCTTAATGCAAAGTTTATTTTCAGACAACAGAAGATTGTGCGAAGACAGCCGACTGTTACTGTGTTCCTATGGGACAGTGTTTTACACGTACTATGACATTTGATTTTGACAACTGTTTACTGGCTGTTCCTCTTGAACTAATTGACTCAGGAGCATATTTATTACACGTAACATCCTATAATACGGCAAAACTTCCATCATTGTCCGTTATTCAGGTAATATTCTCATTATAAGATACGAACTTAATTTTCATTTCATATAAATATTGATATCAAGTATTTGAATTTTGTATTCTAATCTTCAGCGTTTTATTATGAATTATGGTTTTTATTTGACTGTACTTACGTATACTTTAAAACGACATTTAATTGCGATAATGTTTTTGATAACTTTCGACACGATTAGCCGTAATACATTAGGAAAATAAAATGGCATTTTGATACACCTTTATTTTCTTAATTCATTAATTAGATTTTTGTTAATTTTAGATTGGTGACGTAGGTCAATTTAATGGTGTCAATAAGTGTAAGTAAAAACACAAAGTTATGTGCCGTCTTTTATTTCCAAGCTCAAGTTAGAGGTTATCCTATAGCTGTACTATGTAAATCTCCTTTTACATATAAGACAAATAAGACAGAAACTATTGTAACATATGAATCCAAGTACATATTTTTTTTTATTTCTGTTTTTTCTCTCTGTCTTTCTTACAACTATAAATCTATGCTTTATGTTTGCCAATAAAACCGTATTTAATTTTAAGTTTTGTAATCCATGATTAGTAGAACTATTTTCTATTTAACTGAAAATGATTCTATATGAACAAAGTCATTTAATATGTACACTGTGTAATTTTCTTATTTTGAAATAACAATATTACATACTATTTTCCAATTTTTCATGTTTTTGAAATGTCACCGAAGTCTTAATTAAAACTACACATTACACGTTTAATATTCATTGTCTTACAGATCCTAGCCCGTCCTCGATATCTGTTATAAATAAAACCAATACAGAAATTACCATTCAATGGACAAATAGTGTAACCTGCTACCAGATCGCACAATTTATACTATACTTGCACAGGCCCGATAATACTACAGATAGTTTCATGATTGACAAAGATTCTGTAATATACACAATAACTGACCTTTCACCGGGTGCTTCCTATGATATTGAAATGTACACTGAGTATGGAAATGGAACGAATCTTAATAGAAGTTTAGAACCATTGACAACTATATTTTCAACAGGTAAATATCACTAATCACTTGTTTACTTGGGTTTATATATACCCAGGGCGCCAATGTGTTCGACTAAACATCTTTCTTCAGTTTTTTCACCATTCTGTCTTCAGTCAAACATCGTGATGGGGTATATTTAACCAGAGGTGTCAATCACATGTGGATTCTTTATAAATCTAAAGTACAACTGCAAAATCTTCAATTATAATCACAAACATACAATTTTGTAGTAATAACAAACTTTTGATTTGTGTACGCTTGATCTTACTGTTCCCCATACTCAATTGAAAGATCGAATAAACCGTCAACTAAACAGAACTTTCTCTACAACAATTAGAATCGTAGATATACATTTCCTGTTTTGGGTCATGAAATATCTTACTTTGTGAAGAACCGCATTGATTCAAAAAAACAAATACACCGAAGATGATGTCATCAAAATGCCAGATAGTCATTATTTAAATGGATACGAATAATGCATCCTACTGGTAATAATATGACGCAGAATTCATACAAAACCTTTACCAAATAGAAAAAGAAAAAAAAAACACCAAGCAAAGTTCTTTAATTTCAGTTTCAGATATATTGCTGATGTCCAGTCACTCAAAACCTAATTTTCAGTGAGTGCTTGTTTCCCATATATCTCAGTATAAAAATGAAAACAACACGTTATAAATTTAATTCGTCCGAAGCGCTTTTCTGGATTTACATTCATCAAGAACACTCTAAGCCGAATATAGCCAAGGATGTATAGAACCGAAACAGTTGAAGAGCTATATAATCAAAAATGACCTAAAATAATAGCCAAATCCTTCTAAGGGCAACTTTGCCTGAGGAAGTTTTAACCTTAGTTTCTTTATAATTTCAAAATTTAAAAACGGACAAATTTAGAAAGGTTTGTTATTAATCATGTCAGTACCAAAGTACTGACTACTGAGCTGATGATACCCTCAGGGACGGATAGTCCACCAGCAGAGGTATCGACCCAGTGCTGTAAAAATGAAAACAACACTTTATAAATTTAATGCGTCCAAAGCGCTTTTCTGGATTTACCTTTATCAGGAACGCTCAAAGCCGAATATTTGAAAGCCAAGGATGTATAGCTTAATTTGAGATTAAGGCTACTATAGAAACTAGAAGGTCTGTTGTATATCTTGATCCTTTCCTCGGTATTGACACAGATGGACGACTTTAAACTAGAATCTATGACAAACACGATGATTTAACTTTCAAATTGTCTTTCCGATTCTCAGCAGTAACATACCCTCTGCCCCATCATGCTCCATATGTGACACCCGTCGTGCTACTCCTATAAAATATGTTGATACGATATATCAAGTGGTAAGGCATCACACCATAGCGGATTGGTAATTAACTCTTTATATAACCATCGCCAAAGACATCACCAAATGCATAAACCAACGGTCATGTAAATTTTCTAACCCCGAAACATAACCGAATGTGAAATATTTAAATTGAAACAATTGTTTCTTGACGAAGGATAGACAAGACTGTTACCGGTATAAACATCACTTACATTCACAAAATCAAACGGACAAAGAACAACACTAAACACTAAAGCAACAACAACATGAATCCCTTAAAAACAAAAATAGAGGTGATCTTAGGTGCTCTGGAAGGGACAATCTTCTCCTCTGAAACTATTGGGCAAATTGCAACCAATAATGGCCACCATCATCATTTGGGTATCTAGCTCCGATGATTACGCCTGACAACTAATATTACCGACATTGCTAAAAAACAGTACATATGGGTAAAATGCAAGTTTTTGTTTATTATCGTGAAACCACCATAAATCTGACATGACAGAAATGTTCAGAATACTCAAATCAACCTACCGTTTATCGAATCATATCTGTCAGACGACTTCTTTTAAACTATTGCCTTAAATGACAAATTTTACTATAGTTATCCATGTGTGTCCATTATCTTGAAAACTATTATAGATAAAGAAAAAATTTAAATATAAAAAATGATCAACAAATTTGTCAACATCGACCAAATTGTCAGTCGACTCTTAATTGGAGTTATTGCTCATAAATGACGTTTTATACCATTTTTGCACAATATCTTGAAACCTTGATGGATAAATAGAAATTTTAAAATCCTAAAATAATCAGCAAGACAATAACAAGAAATAGGTAAATTAATTGCTATCTGACTCCTTATAGCAGTTATTGCCTTTAAAAGACGAGTTTTATATCTTTTTGGCGTTATTGCTTTATATTTTGAAAGCTATCATAGAAAGAGAAACTTTAAAATTGAAAAATGATGCGGTTGTTTACCCTATTGTCTTGAAAACTGTTAATAATAATAGATAGATGGAAATTTAAATAGCAAAAAAGGTCAGCAGGAAAAGATCTAGAATATGTCGAAGACATTGGGACTGTAGCAAGAACATCCTGTGTTTCTTTGTGCATATTGTATTAAGTTTTAGAAAATGGTATTTTAAATGAGTAGTTCGATTTGTGATTTATACTTTAAGGGTTTTGAATTGATAGCGATGGATAGAACACTTATACGCTCGTATGAAAGTGTCGGGATATTTATTGAAATTGACCTTATCAAATTTATTGATTTCATGATACATAACAAAAAAAAGGAAATGTAATGTCCGTAGATTTACTTTTTTCAACCACAACATTTATGACGTGATAAACAACCATGTGTATAATCTTTTGGCACAAATACCTATTGCGTATTTTAGATGTTGACTATAAAATGTCATGTAGTAAAATATATCAGTAACATGAGTTTGGTATTTTTTCCTTATATAAAATTTGTTTAATATTTATTTTTGCAGAAGATAATCAAGAAGAAAGCAGTATCAATCTAATTGTTATCATAGTACCAATAGTTCTTCTTTTGTTCGTTATTATTGTAATTGGTATTATTGTATACTGTTCTTTGAAAAAACGACTCCGAAGATTATCTACCTCTCCATTTGTGCCACCAGATGTTGTTTTGAATGGTAAACTTCCGATTGTAACGAACATCTTAGTAAAATCTAGAAATGATATGCTATCCATACCAGAAAGGCCTTTGATGGATAAAATGGCTGACTATCAAAATAACGTTATATTTAGACTTGACTTACCAAAAGGTCGTGCTAATATGCTAGCACCTATAAGCTCCCGATTGGGCGACAAAAATGATCAATATTAATATTTAGATTATTGAACTAGCTTTCTGATATCTTGTATGTATACATTAATTGGTGATTAAATATCTTAAATCATATATAGAAATATTTCAGCTCAATATTGCTCACACCTACAACCATGCTTTCCTGGAGTTTGTAATAGTTACAATGATGAGTGTGCATGTTCAGACGGTTTTCTGGGCAATAATTGCTTACAGTGTAAGTTTTTCCTGTGTCTAAACTATTTACCTTTAGTTATTATCTTAAAAGTAGGGAAATGATTTATATGAATTGCTTTGGTGTTTTATTAACAATTTATTTTAATATAATGCTTCAAACAAACTTGTACTGATCAATGTAAAGCATCGTATTTGTGTGTTAAACTCAAAATTGTACATGATATATACGTCATAAATATTTCACCTTAAAAACTGATTTGGAAGATAGCATTTTACTTTCGAATGGAGTGCATCGACGATTTTAAATATCTGAAGCTGGTATGAAAAATCGATTTATTACATCCGGGAAACGAATTTTTGTGTATGTGTGCGTACCTCATGGTAGTCAAGCTCGTTTAATCGAAAGCAGTCTCGATTTCTCACGTTTGATCTTCAAGAATTGAAATTGACAAATTCAAACAAATTAAAAGTTATTGTTTCTATTCTATCTAGTCAAAAATAATGCAAGTATATTAAATATTGTCTCTAAATTTATATAATACGTTTGCAAGTTTATATTATATCTAATACGTTTTAATATGTTTGCTGCAATTAAAAGACCAAATTACTTGCAAAACAGAAGCATTAAGTGATGGTGTTGAACAGCTGCATTCATATAACTGCCAGTTTATTTATTTATTTATTTTTTTTGTTAATGTTCATTTTTATGTTTTTTTTTTTGTTTATGTTTTTGTTTTAAATTTTTTTTATTATTACTATTACCATTATCATAATCATTGTTATAATTAGATATGGATAGGTAGGGACCAAAATAATGTAAATATAAACATCTTGAACACGACATTTTTCAAATAACACTATCGTTCATGTTTTATCTGCATGAAAACATTTTCTGGTTTACATACACGAAATTAGGCAACATAGCTTACATTGAATAATTACTTATATCTGACTGAAATTCTCATTTGGTTTTCGAGAAATTTATGTATTCGTATGTTGTTGTTAAAGGTACATGTACAAGTAGACAGAGGTTTGATTATTAGATTATTTTATATGAAGATAATAATAAAAAATAAATAAATCAGTCTGTTTGTTTTTGTTATAGTTGGTGCCCAGTATATGCCATCAATTCATAGGACTAACTCTTCCATATCCTTTTATGATTCTACGGCTGTCAAAGATTTGTTCACGTATAGTACAGATTCAACCGGAGACAGAATTACCTGGTCAAATCAAGAAGACTTCAATGTGTTGAAGTTTACACTCGAAGCTTCTTTTCATTCCGATTCCGTATTTGGTCCATTGCCAGGTTATCCAAACTATGTCACCAATGTTACCTTTGGAATAGTAGAAGGGCGTGTGCATTTTAACCACTCAACCATTAATTCAGGTACAGATATATTTTATAAAAATAATTCATTATTTTAATTGGTTTGATATTTTTCGAAGCCGACGTAAATACACATGGCACATTTCTTCATGACATTTCATCTGTAACTATCTACAGACATACAAATATATGAAAAAAATTAAATCGAATGTACAGAACAACAAACACACAGGGAATAAAAACAAATTAATACTAGAACATGATGAGACAATTAAAAATTTTGTTTGCTTCAGACAAAAACGCATGGTAAGAAATTTTGACCATAAAAAATCACAAAAGTTACACCTTTTGTTTTTCAATTATTATAACTCTATTCAAGACATACATGTATTACAAATAAAGTAATACATGTACAAAATGTATGTCATATAGTTACATAGACCAGTAACAATGAACACATCAATCCAATCCAACCTGGAGTAAAGGATACAACAGATACAGATAAGTCTGCCTCATATCTTAACAATGAGGATTGGTTGAGAACAAAAATGTTCGACAAAAGAGATGATTTCGTTTCTCCATTGTGACATTTCCATTTCTATATAGCAACATTCCAGCAGTGTCTACATATGTAGTATATATCTTCCAGTTGATACGATATTCCAGGGCTTGCATTTCCTATCATAATTTCATTGATTGAGGATTGCTGTGCACAAGCTAAGGAAGTAATTAAACTAAGAGTTCTAAGTGGTGAAGGTGAAATCATCCCTTCGAGCATTTTACGGACGCCATCAGGAGATGGTTGACTGTTATGGAATATTATCTGTTTTACAGATGACGACAGATGGTCCTTTTTTTCTCCGAATGTGACCTACCTACCAAATTAGACTTATTTTCGAGTTGTACTTACACGAGCAAAACAACGTGTGCCATATGTGGAGCAGAATCTATTAACCCTTACTCAGCACCTGATGTTACGCCCGGAGTTTGGTGGGGTTCAAGTTGATCTGCCTTTAGTTTTTAATGATGTGTTTTATATACTGTTGTTTGTCTTTTGGTCTTTTTCGTTTTTTGAGGACGATCGTTTCGGAAGTACAAACCTACTACAAATTTTATAGAGTACAACCGAACAATATAGCAAAACACGGACAAAAAAATCGAAAATATGCACCAGAAAGATATATATTCCTTAATTTCAAATTTCTTTCACTTTTCATGTTGGTATCAAAGTAATGAGTAACTTGGCTGGTTATAATCCAATATGTAACAAACAAACAGAGGCATCGACCTAGTGCTAATAATGGAATTAAATCGTTTCAAATTTACCGCACCACATGAGGATTTCAAACATTACTTTTACTCAGTGATGTTAATATAACATGGAAGAGTTCTTTTGTAAGTCAACGCATCTAGTCTAGCACCATTTTTAGTCTTTATTTCTCTATTTAGTGCTTTGTGGACTTGTTGTTAACGTTTTTTGTTTTTGGTTTTTTTTAAGCCATGGCGTTGTCAGTTTCTTTCAACTTATGAGTTTTGAATGTTCCTTTATTATCTTCCGCCTTTTTAAATCTAAAATATTCATTTTGACTTTGATCTGAACCTGTCTGAAGATGATTGAATGCACAAAATATTGTGTTGTCATAATGAAACCATTTTCAGAATCTTTCAACAATTCGTAGACACCAGAAAACCAGTTACGGTTATTTTGGACTTTTAGGTCATAAACAATATGTTAAACAACTCAATAAATATTAAATAAAATAGAAGATGTGGTATGTTTGCTTATGGAATAATTCAATGATAAAAACCTTTACTAATATGAGCAACACGACGGGTGCCACATTTGGAGCAGGATCTTCTTACCCTTCCGGAGCACTAGAGATCACCCCCAGTTTTTGGTGGGGTTCATGTTGCTCAGTCTTTAGTTTTCTATGTTGTGTTTTGTGTACTGTTGTTTGTCTTGATCTTTTTTCTTTTTTAGCCATAGCGTTGTCAGTTTATTTTCGACTTATGAGTTTGAATGTCCCTCTGGTATCTTTCGCCTCTCCTTTACACATCCAACATCCAAAGAATTTAGAGCAAAAGACGTCATTAACAGTCGGATAAAACATGATCTTATTCACTGCCAAAATATAGGTATCGACAGTATGTAGGACCGTATAAGTTCATAGGTGTAGAGCAATAATATTTAGTTGGGTTTTAACTTATTGACAACACTCTCAATGTTTATACCGATGCGAACAATATTCAAAAATCTAATTACATAGTAAATTAGTAACCTTTTAGGAAACTTTTTTAAAGGATCGATTATTTGAACCGGATCTTATTTAAGTTTTTTCGGGCTCGATAAACAACATCACTTAAAAACTAGGATGTGCTATCCCGTTTATAATAAGTTTTCTACAGGTACAGCAAAACTTCCAAACCAAATTTTTGTGTCTATAAAAGAATATAGGTTTTAAGTAAGTGTGGTAACGAAATCCTTGACTTCTACAGTAATATATAGATTACGTTCATTGAAATCCAAAACGGTCACTACAGACACAGGTATAGCGAACGAGTAAGCTTGGGCCATAGAAACACCACCGTCTAAAAAAGAAAAAGTAACAATAGGGATTGAAATATCAACCCTTTTGTCTTCAAGTTTTGTGCACATTTCCCTTACAAAGCTGATATATCTAAATCGACAGTTATTGATGTTTATGTTTGATTTATGTAAAGTAAGTTCGTTTTAGTAAATTTCGGCAGTATAGTTAGAGTACAGATATTTAGAATAAAGTACACATTAAAATCTTCTTTGGTGTATAGTGACATATACATATTGTATCTAACATATTTAAAGATTTGATGATGATGAAAGATGGCTACTTAACGTCCAGCGTTAAATTAATATGCATATTCAGGATTAGAACATGTTAATGTTATATAAATATTAACCCTGCTTTGTACTAGACCGACACATTGATTTTAACGTGCTAATTCACAAGATAACAGTCCTTAGGAAGACATGTTACCTTACCCGGACACATTATTCTGACCCCGAACCGACCACTCTTTGTTCTTACTCCTTAATGCCGCGTGCTTAGCTGAGAAGCAGCAAATATCAATTCTAAAGCCTTTGGTTTAATCTGGCCGGGGTTCAAACCCACGACCTTCCGCACCCGAGGCGAACACGCTACCACGAAACCAAATATATAATTTATACGAGGTGGTTTTAAAGATTTGAGGAAACTGTGGAATATATGTATGTTCAACTAGTGATGAAACTTCTGCAAAATTGCGAGAACGAAAGCAGATATTTCCTTTAGTATTAAGAGGTAGCACTACAATCAACATAAATATTACAACAATTAAATCATCAACGATTAAGCCTTAACACCGTATTTGTACATATCATGATAAAAAAGATGGATGCCACATGTAAAGCAGGACCCTTCTAGACCACCTGAGATCACCCTCGGATTTTGCCGGGATTCATGTTGCTCAGTGTTTTGCTTTTATGCAGTGTTTTATAAACGGTTCTTTGTCCTGTGCCACTTTCTTTTGTAATGGTTTTTTTTATCTACGAGTTTTAAATCTCCCTATTGTATCTTCCTCCTCTGTTTTAGTAAACGTAAGAAATTGCTCAGAATCGTGTTGACATGCGTACAAAGCTAACACAACAGAAAATAGTACAAAAAGCATCAAATAAAAACGGATCTGTTAAATGTGTCATCTGCGTTATTTATTTTCTATTCGTTTGGTGTTTATCAAAATGATATTCATGATTTTCAATAAAATCCACGACAGTTCTCTCCTACACTTGTGTTGATTTTGTCTGGATTAAATGGTTTGAACAAATTGGTTTTTTTTTTTCTTTACAGGTAACAACGACACCATCTTAAAATGTGCACATGCCAGTAATATGAAGCCAGTGGATGACTTACAATGTAACTTTAATGTTGACAAACAACTTAAGCTAACATCAGGAGATACGTAAGCTTTGTTATATTGCTTAAAGTATTGTGTGTTTTTTTACAATTTTGGGACGAAGGCAATATACCATTGAAATAGTATTTGCACGTATAACAGTAGTACGGTGGAATTAGTCACATTTTAGAAAAAGTAAAACATTGAACATGAAGGTTGACTTGTTTTTCCAATCGCAAAAAAGTTATAAAAAAGTAAGTATGATATCGATCGGTCGTTTTAACGGTACGCTCTTTGTATCTCTTTAAAAGTTTGCGAAAGTTGAAACCATCCTCCAAATGCTTATGGCTACATTATTGCTAATCATGTAAAATACTGGTCTTACATCTTTTAATTATACAAAGGAAAAGAGGACCTACATTTGAAACTTTATATGAAAAGAAGAAATATTTATATGGTTTACTGAAACACTCTTTCTAAATTGAAAAAAAAATACAGAATGAGTAATTTGTTTTATTCGATTTTAGATTAATATTAGAATTTGTAGCAAGATCAGGTGGAAAACTGGAGCTAATGAAAATAGACGACGGTACTGTGACCGGAGTTGAGTTTTATAATGGAGCAACTACTATTGATGTTTTGGAGTTCAAGTTTGATTTTGGAGTGCCTATCCACTGCACAGAAACGTCCACTTGTTCCTATCATGCCATGCAATTGCAGAATGATATCACATCGGTATGACATAAAACGATTTGTTATTGAATATGTATATTGGTAGCAGATAGATGGTTCTGTTACATTTGTTATCTGAAAGATCGATAATTAAAAAGTAGCTTAATTATTTCAATTAAAATAGAACTATGTATTGCACTGCAAACTGTATTATTTATAATTCTAACACACTGGACGAATATTTTCTAAATGTGTTTTAGGTCTTAAATATCAGATAGTATGTACAAGATTAATTATTGATTTGAACCCACCTTTATCAAATACATACATGGAACAGAATAGATTCTCTTCGACTATACACCTTTTGTTAACACACATAAAAAGTTTTGAACAAGTATTCTCTACAAATAATTTTATCAAGATTGAATAGATATTTCTGCAAATTGTACTAGTGTTTTTTCATTCGCACAAAAATCCTGCGATAAATTGTCAGTCCAAGAAAATTATTGTGTTAAAAATTTCATTTCAAATAAAACAAAAAACATAATTTAAAACAAAGTTCATTGTACATAAATTCTTATTTATGCAGATCGAAATTCGTCCGTATTGGTTAGGTTGGACCGATTATCTTTCCGGCATTTCTAGTTATACTTTTGAAGTATGGAAGATGGAATATAATGCGGATGCGGAGGGATTACAAGAACCCCTGATAACAAATAATACCAACCCTTCACCTTTGTTAATAACCAACATATTGGGTAACAACTTAACATACCCGACTTACAAGCCGACGGAACCTGGAGTATATTCATGTATACTGGAAGTGAACGATGTTGCGAATAACTCTGAATACGTCCGACGTATTGTTATATTCGACGATATCTCAGATGTGACTGTTAATAGCTCTCATCGCCTATTTGTATCATCTGCGAATATTGAAACAAACTATTCGTGGCAAACAGATTTCAAACCTAATGCTAAAAATGATATAACAGTAATATGGGAAGGTTTGTTCAGCAATTCTTTGCATCATCAGGAACATATTTTGGCAAAGGTTTTAGACTACAACCCACGATTAAGTGATAACATACGTCGTCATAACTATAAACGAATCTTGACAAATTATGATGACCATGAAGGGGACAGAACAGTTGAAAGTATTTCTAATATAAACGGTATTGTTAAGTTCCAAATAAACCATGAAATTGTCAGTAGACCATCATCTGAGGCTCCTGGTGATGGTTGGGAGGACATTTATCCATTGGCAGAACATTCTGTTCTAGATGTGGCTGCAGGCACAATAGGAGATGGAGATTCACAACAAATATGGGTTCGTGCGTTAGATGTGTTTGGTCGCAACAAAACACAAACTACAGTTATTCATTTTGATCAAAGTGGACCAGATAATTTCTTAACAAATGTTGTATACAATACAGAGGGTGGAGCCCACACTTTTTCAAGCAGGTGAGAAACATTTGAAATTGTACAACAAACGAGAGGAATAAAAAGCAAATATATGTCATTGTTTTAAATTTATCATGCAGATAAATAAAAATATTTTTTTACAAGAGAAGTGAGTTTCAAGTCTTTAGACAATTTTACATACTTTAAAGCATTCTCACAATAAGTACACCGTAGCTATCATTTCGTACAAATTCCTTTTTTTCTCATTGAGTTATTTCTTTGTCATTGAGTTAATGTTTATATATAATTACGATCATATAATTGCAGGTTATTTTAATTTGTTCTGATAATTTATGTCTAAGATTAATTGTTTTTAACTTAATTATTAATTAATGATTTACTTATTTAGGATTACGTTTGTATCCCAAGATCTACATAGTGGTGTGACTAATGTTTCAATACAAGTTGTGCTTAACGGAACAGACAGTGTCAAATTCGAAGAAAATGTGTATGTTGAAGAGAAGGTACGTTTTAAACAATCTGTGAATTAAGTTAAGTGGACATGACAAAATTGTTGACAAATTATAAATAAGATTTTCCTTCTATTTATCTTTATACCAGAACAATTTTAATATTTTTTTCTTAGTCACATTTTTTCTTAAAATATATAATAATGTAACGTAAAATTGTATAAAATATAAGATTAATGGTACATCTTATACTTTACAGACCACTGAATCGTGTGCTCTTACACATGACTGTTACTGTGTACCTATGGGATTGTGTTTTATGAGGTCAATAACCATAGAGATTAATAATTGCCATCTGAGTGTACCGATAGATATGATAGAGAATGGATATTATCATATTAATATTACATCACACAACACAGCATCTTTAGACACTTCTACATTTATAGAAGTACGTACTTAAGTATTGCTGTACCGTTCAAAGTTTTATATTTATCATTTTGTGGCTTCTTTAATAAATAAGTGTTGAATTCACCTCCGTCTATTTTCCATTTAGACTGCTGTATTGAAAAAAGTCGAAATCAAATTTATTACACTGATTTTTTCTCATATAATATGTCAATCGGCAATATTCTGCTTTGCTTACAAACCATTTCTGTATTTTGAAGGCATATTTCATGTTTGAAATAAACAGACACGCTTTCTACTAGGTGTATTACATCCAAATATTTTAAAAAGGTGTTCAACTTGTGCTGATATTATTTATTATATTCTTTTACAGATAGGGGATGTCTCAAAGTTTAACGGTATCAATAGTTGTAAGTAGTTTTTTTTAATTAAACACTAGTTTACTACTATTATCGGATGTTTAATTACCGTAACTACTCATCGAGTATCGTACAGGAGCTTGAGGATTACTTGGGAATATTCAAAATATTTACCAAAACATAATACAGAAGGTCATGGGTAGTTTATACCCGTATCGTCATATCCCTCAAGGCACAAAGACCAAATCGAAGAGACACGACTCATTTGTTACAATATACATAACTGCCAAACAAAACAACAAGGTTCATTTTTACCGTGAATGTGAACACACTTTGAATCATAGTAATGGTTTAGTGTTTTAACAGAAATGGCACTTCATGACATTCTATAATAGTTGGAGAGTTGACATATTTATTTTATCTTTAAATCCATTTAAATGAAACAGAATGGTGAATTCAGTTAAAATGAAATCAATATGTCATGGAACAATATTATTATCTACCACCAAAAACGGTCCATATACAATGTATGAACGGCATGGTATAATAAAATGAATCAATGCAAGTCCTAAGAATAACATAAGAAGAAAAAAGATAAGAATAAACAATACAAATACGTAATGAAAAAAGTTAAGTAGATAAATAAACTAAACTGCCAAACAAGCATAGCAAAGAAGCACTATTAGTACTACATTTTGCACTTTACTTAACTTATAATTAAATGTTAAAAGAAAACCTGTAAACAAAATATTGTAATAATTTTTCAGATCCAGGTCCCTCACTTGCTACTACTGTCAACATTACAAATCGAGCAGTGACCATACAATGGACAAATACATCCACATGTTATGAACGACTGAGATATATCATCTTACTGTATAAACCTGATAATACGACAGACTTACTTGTTATTGATAAAGATTCTGATACATACACATTTAATGACCTTTCACCTGGCACCACTTATACAGCAGAAATTTATACGGACTATGACAGCGAACCAGAAGTTACCCGCAGTCCAATACCATTAGAACATGCGTTTACAACAGGTTAAACATAAATAAACATTTTCTGGAAGTTTTACGTTTTTAATAAATAATAAACCGAGTGCGTACAAATAGTAACATATGCATAGTGAATAAGAAAATAAAGTGCTGTGCCCTTTTTCCTCGGCTTTATGATTTAAACGAATTTATAGGATCAACTAGAAATACTGTGAGCACTGCTCAAATAGACCCCCCATTTTTTTTTTATTAAATGACATGCACACAGATTGTTTTCCATTGACACAAAACATGAATAATTTGGCACTATTAAGGCTACATCAATTCTAACTAAGTTTGCTGTCCGATTTTTTAACGAAAAAAATCTATAACTGTCCAAAGTGTGAAAAATTGACAGTTTTCAATGATTTTTCAACAAATAAAGTTTCATAACTCCGCAATGACATTTATTTTTTTTAAAGGAGAAGAAAATAGCTTGTGTTGCCTGAGTAAAATGTAGTATCCATCAGACATGATAATGTCAAAGGGTCGACCATTTCATTTTCTGGGGAAGGAATGGGATATTCATGTCTATTTATGTATATATATCGTCAAACATTCAGTAAAAAAGTTAAATAACTAAAAGTATATAAATATAGGATTTTAGTAACATATGATGATATATACAGTAATATATATTGTGTCACAGTAGGCTTTAGATGTTTTCTGTCGGCAAATGAAATTGCTTGATTTAATTAACTTAACTGATATATAAACAATGATACGCTTAACATGATTCCCATAGTATGATTATTTCTCAATAATAAATCATACGTTTACCATGTTAACAACAAATTGTAAATTTCAGCTTCCTTTTGTTCTCATCTACAACCATGCTATCCTGGTCATTGTAAAAGTGATATTGATGAATGCATCTGTTCTAATGGTTTCAGTGGATCTACTTGTTTACAATGTAAGTTTATTTATTGTATCAGATTGCATATACAATGTTATTGGAATCATCTTAGTTTTCTACTCGATATGTCGTGTGAGAGTTTGTTTAAAGTGACCATCACCATATATAGTTTTTTTTTTATGAAACTCGAACAAACAAAAATAAACTGTGTAATGTTGAAAGGTTATATGTTCTTGAACTTTATAGAATGAAACTGCTAAGTAAAATTCCCAATGATAAACTTCCATTTTTGGAAAATTGATTTCTTGCTTCGGGTCCCTATAAACAGCCAATTGAGTGTTTAACACCTAATGTTAAGAACTGCATATTACTAAGAAGGAAAACAAACAACATAAACGATCTAGCAAACCAAAAGACATGAACTAGTCAACAAAGGGTTTCATCTATAGACATTTTTGTTCTTTCTCTCTCTCTATTTATATATATTCATCCACATGCGCTGTGTCCTGCGCTTCAGATGTCCGTGCTATTTTCAACAACTGTCCGGTCGTGTATTTATTACACAAAACGTTTTTCTTAACAAATACTTGGAACCTCTTTATTGAAAAAATATTAATCTATGTTGTATTTGACGTTCTTTCTTTTCAGTCAACGAAATGCATTCGCCTTCCTTACAAAGAAGTGCAGCAACTTTTAGCTTCGTAGATTTGAGCACTAATATTGTGAAATACACGTATCAAGTGAATTCAACCGAACATAATTTGACATGGGCAAATCAGGAAATGTTTAATTCAAGGATATTTGTACTAGAGGCTTCTTTTGACGGAAATTTGACATTCGGATCACTACCAAGATATCCAAATTACTTGAATAAATCTGAGTTTGGTATTGTGGAGGGACATATACAATTCACACATACATTTCAATCTACTGGTAAGCAATTCGATAAAAGGATCTTTTGAGTTATAATTGTAATTAGAACATTTTAATATTATTTTTTTAAAGTGTGTTAACATCCATTTTATGTAGTATTTTTCTCATTTAACTCAAATGTGAGATAAGAAAGGACTTACATGTCTGGACCAACTTATTTTTATCTTTATTAAATCGACTCTTAACGTCGTTGATAAATGGATCGGTTGCATGTAGGGTTTGGATGTTCTACTAATTATGTTATTTTGAAAAACGTACGCTGTCATTGTAACTCCTGTTACATCGTTAATAGCATCTAAAGTACTGTTATATCTTTTGAAGATATATGCTGATGTGTGCATTGGAAGAATGGTCTCCATTATATAATTTTTACAAATTTATTCCCCCATTTCATATATATTTGGCCTATCCAACACCCAACCTGAAACGGTTATTTCTTTTATATGTCTGTCTCTCACCTCACTAGCGACATGTTTTCACATTTTTATGTTTTTAGATACCAAAATCTGTAAATTTACCGATTCGGTACTATTCCCGATTGTGACATTTTAAATACGATTCGCATTACGGGTGATGCATGCATAGCAGGAGGAGACGGTTAACCTGTCGACGCACCTGGTATCGCTCCTTTTAGGGTTAATGCGATTCCATCAGTTTTTAATTGTTACCTTGAGTTATCTTCGGTATTGTTTAATGAGATTCGAAAATCGGTAAACTACTACTACCTATATTTATATAGATTCCATCTTTTGCGCAAGTGTATTGTTTTCTGTTTGGTATTAAATTAATAATAAAGATCCATTTTGTTACATCTTGTGTTCCGTTTATGTGGCAATCGCTTATGGCAGTCAGCAGGGTTTCAGGACATCAGTTGTTCGACCTATTAGTCAAATGCGTTTTGTTAAAAGATACTTTTTCACTTTTTTGGTCTTTTGGAAAATGTTGTTTGTGCTGTATTTAGACCCCTCTACCAAGAAATTTGTTTTGCGTGCACACGTATAGAAGTTGCGGTTTTTATCCAACCCAATCATAGGTTTGAACGTTGTTTTCAATTTAGACTTGTTTATATTTTTTCGTTTGGGCTTGTTTTATATTTGCCTTCGGGTTTCTGTGATCCGTTCATTCTATTTCGACTCTTTCAAAATCCAAGAGTCTATCCTAAATTGAGGTAAATTATAATGGCCTTCCAAATACCGTTTCTATTCCTAACATCACTGAAGAGACATTTATTGTCGAAATCCGGATATGATGTACAAATTTTTGCACCTCATATTTTCGGTATAACATCTTTTCCGCAAGTTTATTGTTTTCTGTTTGGTATTAAATTGATAATTTTTAAGATCCATTTTGTTACATCTTGTGATACGTTTATTTGGCAATCCCCAATGACATCAGTTATTCGACCTGTTAGTCAAACTTTTTTTGTTTTTTTGGATTGTTTTGCATGCACACGTATGAAAATTGCGGTTTTTATCCAACGCAATCATAAGTTTGAACGTTGTTTTTAATTTAGACTTGTTGTTCAAACCTATGATTACGTTGGATAAAAACGCAATTTTTATACGTGTGCATATGCAAAACAAATTTCTTGGTGGAGGGGTCTAAATACAGCACAAACAAAATTTTCCAAAAGACCAAAAAAAGTGAAAAAGTATATTAAAACAAAACGCAACTGATGTTCTTTAACCCTGCTGACTGCCATTGGCGATTGCCAAATAAACGGATCACAAGATGTAATAAAATGAATCTTATTATTAATTTATAACCAAACAGAAAACAATAGGCTTGCGGAAAAGATGGTATACCGCAAACATGAGGTGCAAATATTTGTACACTATATCCGGATTTCGACAATTAATGTCTCTTCGGTGATGTAAGGAATCGAAACGGTATTTGGAAGGCCATATAATTTACCTTAATTTAGGATAGACTCTTCAATTTTGAAAGAGTCGAAATAGGATGAACGGATCATATAAACCCGAAAGCAAATATAATACAAGCCCAAACAAAAAATAAAAACAAGTCTAAATTGAAAACAACGTTCAAACCTATGATTGCGTTGGATAAAAACCGCGATTTTTATACGTGTGCATGCAAAACAAATTGCTTGGTAGAGGGGTCTAAATACAGCACAAACAACATTTTCCAAAAGACCAAAAAAGTGAAAAAGTATATTTTAACAAAACGCATTTGACTATATACACACACAAATAGTTTAAAATAAAATCACATTTTCATTAAAAGACATTGATTTTTTTTTCTTACTAGTTAAAAATAAAACAGTTCTTCAATGTACTGATCCAAGTGAGGAAAGTCCCATACCTGAACTACATTGTAATATTCAACTATTAAATGCATCACAGTTATCATCTGGAGACATGTAAGTATAAGAGAATAAACAACAAATACAAATAATAAAACTGACAAGAAATGTAAATTACAGTTATGACAGTATTTATGCAATGTTTAAATTTAATAATTCGTCTAATCTAATTACAAGCAAAACATGTCAATGTTAATTTCCTTCTTTTTTTGTTGTTGTTGATAATATCTTTGAATATGTGGATTAAACCTTAATATTAAAGACAACGTTAGAACGTACAAGTTATTTTCTCAACAGACAATTTAACCATTTTAATTCTTGAGTAGATCAATTAAAAGAGTATAGCGACCTCTATTTTGGTTAAATATTATTTTTTTTGTGAAATATTATTTTTCCTCCAGAATGACTCTAGAATTCATGGCACATTCAGGAGGCAACAGGAAACTAATAAACTTTGCCGATAATGAAATCACGGGTATCGAGTTTTATCAAGGGCAGTCAGTACAGCAGTCGATGGAATTTAGATTCGACTTTGATATTCCTGTACACTGTACCCAAATTTTATCTTGTGAAGACAATCCAATGAATCTTGAAAACGACATAACAAAGGTAAAATACTTGATATTAACGCAGTTATATTATTTATTGGGGAAAAAAGATGTAAATTGTCAAATTAAAGTCAGAAGAACTCTGAACAGTTGATTTTACAAAACAAAAAGATTAATTGTCCTTACTATTGCTGTAAAATCCCAATCTAATTAAAATTATATCTCCGCACTTGCTCCTCGTTGTTTATATGTCGCGCGTGGGAGATCTTACAACAGCCGCTTGAGGGTCATGTCTAGGGTCAAATTTGCTGTAGCCAATCAGCGAAGGTGCTACAAAGTGTTAGGGTATTGGACTGGCATAGGAGTCTTAGTAGCGTCTAGAGGTCTTCCGAATGTATATAAACAAAAATGGCATCCCCCATGCGAAAAACGTTTCGTAACATACAACTGTAATAATAGTTTGTATTATTGCCTTCCGAGGTTAAAATGGCATCATGTGAAGTATGCACCCCAAGGAAAATATCAGTATGAACAAACATTTGTGTTTTATGCGGTTTTTCTTTCATCCAGATAGAAATCTCCTCAACGGGAGAACGTGTTGAAAAAAAAACTGTTCAAACTGAAACTTCAGCAGAACTCAGAGAGAATCGCAATGATTTCTAGTGTTGTTACTGGTTTTGAAGTAAACGCCGAAGTAGACAATGACAATGGCGTCTGTATTAAATGTTTTAGAAAAGTCCAACAGTCAATCAAATTAAAGAAAGATGCATTAAAAATTCAAGAAGAACTAAGTGACTAACTTCGGGTGTCTTACCACCTGACCAATCAGAAAGATTAATTGCTAATAGATTTGTTAATCTGCAAGGTGGAACAAACAATAATATAAGCTTAGATGAATACTTGAGAGATGTTGAACAAGGATACAAAAGTAACATGTTCAGGACATCAGACAAAGGAAAGTATCCTTCAACACTCTAAAGAGTATCCTCACCTAGTTAATTTTGCAAGCCATTTTGATAACATTACCAATTTAACAGGAAAGAAGGGGTTCCACCATATACGGTCATACCAAGCTGATGTTCAGAAAATTGCAAAAGACCTACTACAAGAAAATGTACTACATGTAACATATAAAACTTCAAGAATAATAACAATTAAGTGCAAGGAGCTAAAAAAAGACAAAAAACCATTTGACAGTGCATTTATAGGACTTCGTACATTGATTCATCGCCGTGACATCAACCAACAGTCCCCTTCCATCACCTTCAAATCCACATATTTGAAAAATATTGCTTGGAATTAAATTATTGTGAATAAAGTGTGCAGGTTTAATTTTCTCTTAAGTCATAACCTTAATTAGCTGGTACTTTTTTAGTAGTTTGTTGCTGATATTAAAGTGTCATAAGTCAATGAGACATCAACCCAACAAACAAAGTAATGAAATACTTTCAGTTTAGTTGCAGAATATCATGGTCATTTTGATTAGGCAGCATAACTACGTACAAAAACATGTTTATAAAAATGTGGCCTGATTTCTAATGAGACAACTATTCAAAAGGGACCAACTTATTTTTCTGTATTAAAGTTCACAGTTCCACCTCTGACTTTGAGTAAAACCTATAGCAAGCTGTACAAAGACCCGAAATGACTTTATGAAAACATCAAGCACGTTTGTACAAAACAACAATGAGATAAAAACCAAACTTTTACAGATTTGTTCACAAGGCGACCAGCATGCAGATATTTACCCTATATGTACATGTAAAGAGCTGTTGATAAAACTTATACAAGGTGGTGTTGGTTAAATGTGCTTTCCTGAGTGATGAAGTTATTAGTGCACATTATTTGGTTCAATTTCTATCTTAGTCAAATTAAACACAGTAACTTAATATAATAAAATGCTCTGCTGGGCCCAGCTTGATACGACTGCAGAGGTCGAACCCTGAACAGTTTGGGCAAGTATGGACACAACAGTCAAGCTTGATACAGCACTGAATTTGGATTGTGATTAAATATTTGACACAGCATAGGTTACTGACACAGAATAAATGTGGTCTAAGAACTTATAAATTTTTAATTTGCCTATTCAAACACAAGTTATTGACTGGAAACTAGAAAAATGCTTAATTTTTGGCCCCTTTTTGGTTCAAAATTCCTAAACATTTAGGGAAATTATCCCCAAACTCAAACCTAGCTTTCCCTTTGTGATATGGAACCTTGTAGTACAATTTCAGAAAGATCCATACACTTACACACAAGTTATTGTCATGAAACTAGAAAAATACTTGTTTTTTGCCCCTTTTTGGTCCTTAATTACTAAAATTTTGAGGCAATTACCCCCAAAATCAATCCCAGCCTTCCCTTTGTGATATGGAACCTTGTGGTACAATGTCAGAGAGATCCATACACTAACACACAAGTAATGTCTGGAAGTTACAAAAATGCTTATTTTTGGCCCCTAATTCCTGAACTGTTGGTACCATAACCCCCAAAATCAATCCCCACCTTACTTTTGTGGTATTGAACCTTATGGTAAAATTTCATGGAGATCCATTTACTTTAACTAAAGTAAGAGTGCGAAAACCAATGTGTCTTCAGACGACGACGCCAACGTCATACCAATATACGACCGCAAAATTATTTTGTGGTCGTATACAAAAGAAGATGTGGTATTAAGTCTATATTTGACTGTTTTCTTGATGAACACATTGGTCTTGAACAAAGTTGTATAGTAAGATATAGTCCCACTTCATGTTATTGTCTTGAATATGCATGAAATATTTGCCACTGAAACCCAAGTGAAGAAATCAATAATCAATCAACCTGTCAATGTTTATTTTGAGCAAAAATAATCATCCTCTATGTATACTGTTGGCTACACCAAGTTAAATACAATGAGTCTGCTATATAGAACAAATATAACATCATCAAGAACAATGAACAAAAAGGTAAAAGTCATACATGTCATATGAACCATGCCAAAACTTAGCACAAAAGGACATACATCAATAGCAATAATTCTATACACCAAAGATAGTTGACTTGTTGATCAATAAACCATGAAAAGTCAAGGTCAGAAACCAACCAGAGTGATTTTTATAGTTCGTTCCTGTGTTGTACTGTTACACCACTGTCCCAGGTTAGGATCCTGCTAACATGTTTAACCCCGCCACATTCTGTATGTATGTGCCTGTCCTAAATCAGGAGCCTTAGGTAATTCAGTGGTTGTCGTTAGTTTTCTTGTTTGAATTGTTTTACATTTGTCATTTCAGGGCCTTTTATAGCTGACTATGCGGTATCGGCTTTGCTCATTGTTGAAGGCCGTTCAGTGACCTATAGTTGTTACTTTCTGTGTCATTTGGTCTCTTGTGGAGAGTTGTCTAATCATGCTCATTGGCTATCATTCCACATCTTCTTTTTTATATAACATGTACATCTTACAATAATTCCACACCAAATATATTTTTCTGTTTGTTTATCATGTTTATAGTAATCGAGATGCAGACTTGACCCCGAATATAATTATATGCTTGTTTCATGAAATGAGGTCAAGATTAGGCGAATCTGCAACCATATCTGACAGACATGGCAGACATGGTTTTCTCTTTTGAATTTTTTCATATTTTTCTGGTCGGGGCCTTTTGTAGCCGACTAAAGGCATGGGTTTTTCTCGTTGTTCTACAATTGCTTATATCAAGTTATTGAAAAGTCTGGAGGGTAGTTGTCTGATTGGCAATCATACCGCATCTCTTTATTTTTAAGATGAAAACAAGTAAATATCTTATGATGTGTGTCAATCAGTTACTGTCTCATTTGTTTTTATACGCTACATCTCTTTTTAGTCACATTGACAGCTGCAGGCATGACATGAACCCAGATTTAGAGTGGCAATACAGCAATTGTAAGGGGGTTAAAAGTCAAAAAAATTTGAAGAGTCTAAAGTTGAATAAGTTACAGAAACCAGATACTGAAAAATTAAATAAATAAATATCAACTGTTTTAATCATCTTGTATTTCTAATAAAGCCATATCAAGATCTTCGAAGTATTCATAGGCCGACAAATTGTAGTCTTCAGTATCGCTATCTGAAACAGCAGAATCTTCTTGCTCCTCGAGCTCCTCAACAACTTGTTCTGACAGAAATAACTTCTCAAGAGGTAACATATCACAGGATTCACAATTACAAGACTTAGTACACAAGTCACAGCATGAATGTTTCCTGCTTTCTTTCTTCATCAAATCATCCAAGTCTGAATTTCTGAGGAAATTACACATCAGATCCTTTCTCCTACAATCTTTAGCTTTAAGAATTGCCTTAGCTTCCGGTTTCAACTTCTGCAAGTGGTATCCATTGTATAGGATAATGGCAACTGATGGATTTCCATCCCTCCACACTCGCCCTATTTCTTGCAGCAAATCTACCAGATTATTTGGAGGTCCAAATAATACCACTCCACTACACTTTTTTACATCTAAACCCATTCCCAGGGCACTGGTTGACAAAATAAGTCTCAAAACACTACTTTCCTCCTTCAATGCATTAATTATGATGTTTTTGTTAACATCTGGAGTTTCAGAATGGAACATCTCAATATACTTGGCACAATGTGGCAATTCTGTTACAATGTATTTATAAAGTTTGGAAGTGTCATTTATCGATGAACAATACAAAAGTGTACGAGGGAAGTCCTGACTTTTTTCCTCTAATGCATCTACTAACCATGTCATTCCCATTTCAATTTAATTTTTAATTTTGGAAGATACTAGTTTAATATTAGACTTGTTTGGTGATAAATTAATTTCTGTTGTGTCCTCCGCTAGCTGCAATATTTTCATGACTTTTTTCCTAAAGCTTACAGTGCAAGTTGCACTTAAAGCCAATACTGTAGCATCGGCAAAGAGGGATCTTAGTTCACCTACATTTGAAAACCATTTTCGAAAAGCCTTTTTTTCTGTCTCCTTCATCTTGGCCCCTGAAAGAAAAATAGAAATAAGTACTTCTATAAAAACTTTTATAAAAGGTAAATATCAGCACCTCTTGCCTAGATTGTTAATTCTTATGGCAAAACAAAATTAAATACATGTATGTGCTTGTCCATATTGTTATGTAACAGCCTATCATTCAGTGGTTGTTGTTGGTTGCTGTCTATCACATTTGTTTAGGGTTTTATTTTTCATACATTCTTATAATTACATTGTAATGGTTCATCATTTTGCAAGTAGTGGTCTTAAAAGAGCTTACTTTTTAGTATTAGGTTATCTCGTTCTTGAAAGCTGTACAGTTCTGTACCAGTGGTCTTAATTTTTTACTTCTATATTTTTGAAAATCTAAATTCATAAAAATGGGAAGGGAGTACACATCAATATATAGAAACAATTCATCAAAGTTTCATGCAAATTAGTTGAATAGTTTTTGAGTTACTGTCTGACAGGTTGACGATTGACAGACAGTCACAGGTTAGGGGAGGGTTGGGATCCCGCTTACATGTTTAACCCTGCCACATTCTGTATAGTGCCTGTCCAAAGTCAGGAGCCTGTTATTCAGTAGTTGTCATTTGTTTATGTGTTACATACATTTGTATTTGTTTTTCGTTCATTTTTTATGCATAAATTAGGCCGCTTGTTTTCTCATTTGAATTGTTTTACATTGTCATTTCGGGGCCTTTGATAGCTGACTGTGCGGTATGGGCTTTGCTCATTGTTGAAGGCCGTACGGTGACCTATAGTTGTTTATTTCTGTGTCATTTGGTCACTTGTGGAGAGCTGTCTCATTGGCAATCCTACCACTATTCTTTTTTATATAGACAACGGTATACCATAATACGTCCTGTAAATGTGCAAATAGAAATGAACATGGGGAATAAACATTGTATCCACTTACCAAATTGCTATTGTGTGAAACTCATCAATTACAACCAACTTAATGTTCAACTTCTTTAAACACGTTCTCCAATAGGGATCACCAACCAATGTTTCTGGAGATGCAAAAATGACATCTATCAACCCCTCTTTGATTTGATCGTCACTCTGGGGAAGATGATCCTAAAATGCAAAAAAAAAATGTAGGTGGGCAGTCTCCAAAAAGACATATTTCTATGATAACTTCTATAATTTAAATGTACACTGTACAAATACCCTCTCTCCATTTCACTGCGTTTGATTAAAGATTGAAATCCAATGAAATAATTCTTATTGTTGTAAAGTCCAATACAGAAATGAATATAGCTGAGATTTCAATGAATGCATGGCATATTTTCTCGATTTTGAGATGTTTCTGCCAATGTATCTGTTTGGCCATCCAACAAGGTCTTTTAGACTGCACTTTTTCATATTTTTTTTTTATTTTTTCATTATTTAACACCTGAACACAAACATGACAAATAACAATCTAATTTAAAAATTAAGTTTCCCGCACGTTTCTGAGCCATGTAAAGCTAATTATGCTGTATGTATCATTTTGCTCATTGTTGAAGGTCAGATGGTGACCTATAGTTGTAAACTTTGTCATTTGTTGTCTGGTGGAGAGTTGAGTTGGCAATTTTACTTCAAGTCTTGTACATGTACGACATCTTCTTATTCTTATATGCATGTATATTTGTTTTGAGATAGATTATTAGTACATGTAATTTAACAACACTTCCCTTGGACTCAGCTGGTGCTTCATTAATACAACATGTAGTATATATCTTTATACAAAGTATGAAGAACTAGCATTATGGCCAAAACGACTGTAAAATACTGGCAATATGACTGATACAATCTGTTCTCGGTGAAATGAGACAAATTTATGTGCAACCATGGCTATGATCAACTGCTTCTGCAGTTTTTTTTAACTTTAAAGTTTCATATTACTGCTTTGTTACTGTTAGTCATGTGTTGATATACTGAAGTTTAAATGTTTGTTCCTGCAAATAAATTTTATTTTATTTGATAAGGCATACATGTTCATCTTTGCCTGGTCAGATGCGGATCCAGGACTATGGAAAAGGGGGCCCTGCATCTAGACACCATAAGGTGTGGGAATAACGTCTTAAGACATTTTTGTAAGATAGAGACATTGCATTAATTATATAAGTAGCTCCAACAGCATAGGCGGATCCAGGGGGGCCTGGGCCCCCCTTTTGTGGGAAAAATTTAGTTGATTATATAGGGAATCACTGAAGCATGACTGGAGCGGGCCCCCTCTTAGGTCAGTCAGTGGGCCCCCCTTACAAAAAGTTCTGGATCCGCCACTGTACAGGGGGATAACATGTCACCCCTAACTGATTTCTCATGTGTTATAAACATCTTTATTATACAACACTGCCAACATAATAATTATAATATAAATTAGGTGTTTAATGGCATTAAATACTATAGTATGGACTATTCCATTTATTGAAGCCTTACTACCACTGCATGCATAAAGTTATACTAACCTTTGTATGCAGCAGTAATATTTCCAATGTGCGAGAGTTTTTCCACCTGGTCCTGCATCAGAGCTACTAAGGGACAACAGACTAAAACTTTTCAGTCAGAACTGTTTTCAATAACCGCCCGGACAACTGGAAGGTACAGTTGAAACGGCAGTGACTTGCCAAAACCAGTCGGGAGTACAGCCACGCACTTCTTCTTGTTAACTAAACACTCTATAATTTCCTTTTGCTCCTTCTTGATATCATTTATACCAAATTTTGGCAAAACTTTTGTCAAAACGTTGTCCAAACTGGGCGCATCCATGTTTTTTAACGATCCGATAATGGTATACAAGCCCGTCGCTGATTGGTTAATCGAAATTGATTTTCTGCACGCTGATTGGTCGGTCAAAGTTCACCAAATTTGACCCTAGACATGACCCTCAAGCGGCTGTTGTTAGATCTCCCACGCGCGACATATAAACAACGAGGAGCAAGTGCGGAGATATAATTTTAATTAGATTGGTAAAATCCCTTTCTGTCTTACAAAAGATTTCATTTCATTCTTAGCAGTAACTTAGACTTTTCTTCTTCTTTGTCTCTTCTACACATAAATTGTAGTTTCTTCCCAAATTATATGTCTGATCAACTATTATGCAACTTTTTAATGTATAATATTGCCTATTGTGATGTATTAATTGTATTTAAATTGTTTTAACTAATTGTTTTATGCTATTAAATAAAAAGATGTGATATGATTGTCAACAAGACAACTATCTATTCAAGACAAAATAACAACGATTTGCAGGTAGCCAAGTTGTTCGGTATTAACAAATGAGCAAAACCCCCACCTTATTGTAGGTTATAAAAGTATCAGGAGGATGAAATAGGTCAAAAGATAAAAGCAACAGCCTGGTCCAAAGTACAAATAAATGAATAGGTACAATTATGGCAGACATGTCGAAATGCACATACGGCCGTGGTGCAGTAAAATTAGTACCGTTTGTGTTTTACAACTAACGACAACGACTGGAGTAAAGGCTCCTGCTTTAGGACACGCACATCAAAAGTATTGTGGGTCAAATACGATTTTGTTCGCCCAATTGTCCCCTAACCTTGGAATGCGGTTTAACGAACCAACATAATATCTGTAAACCTCAGTTTAAAAAAACTCGACTTGTCAGGTCTGTTCTATGCACAAAAATAAATAACAAAACGACAAAAGACAAATTACGGATCTAATAGTACGCACAGATACTGATAGCTATACAATATATCTAAACAAAGATATAGTTTAGTTTAGTTTAGATATATTGTATTTGCAAAAGTAGCAAAAGGTATTGGACATAAGTTATAACAACATTAGTTACGTCCTATTCCTCTTTTTTAATATAATATGGGCATGGACACTGATATCTAAAGTTTTTTCAAACATTTTAAAACCAATTAAATGTATGTAGAATAATCACCAACGGCCTTTAGGGTGGACCCATTATTTCAAATACTTAGAACAATATCATAACAATTCGAAATAAAAAAAGATATCATTATTCATTTTAACTTCAATCCAGACACCTATCAAAGCTAATTGGTCTGGTTGGGACGATAAGATTTCAGGAATTCATAAGTTTACGTTCGAAATTTGGAAGTTGGATTACGTGTTGGATAAGGATGGACTGATGGAACCGCAAATTACTAACATGACAAATCCTAAACCCTTATTTCTTAAGGAAATTTTACCAGAGTCTGACTTTATAACAAACCTACAATTCACTCCAGATATGTCTGGAGTTTACTCTTGTATATTAGAAATTAATGACAACGCCAATAATTCAGAATATGTCCGACGCATCGTTATATACGATAAAACATCTGATGTTTCTGTAAACGAGTCCAGGCGACTGTTGGTTTCATCTGCGGAGGTTGAAACAAACTACACATGGCAGACTGTTTACATCCCTACTGGTATAAGCATTATTAACGTTACATGGGAAGGACTATTTCTAAATCAGCTTCATTCTGATGGTCATTTTCTAGCTAATGTGTTATATTATGAACCAAGACTAAGTGACAACATTCTTCGCCATGGATATAAACGCATTCTTCCTGAATTCGACGATAACGAAGGCACAAGAACATTAGATGCTATTGATAACATCAATGGTATCGCCAGATTTGAATTAGTCTATGAAGTTGTTGGTTCAAAGAAATCACAGACGCCAGCTACTGGATGGTTTGAAATATTGCCATTAATGGAATCTACATCAGTACAAATGACTAGTGGATCAGTATCCGATGGTGACATATTGCAAATTTGGATTCGAGCATCTGATGTTATGGGGAACCACCAAACACAGACTTCACTGTTATATTTTGATCAAAGTGGTCCTGATAATTTCGTTAATGAGATTCAGTACAACATAGAAGATGGTGGAACTGTTTTTTCAACCAGGTATTATTATTACCATACGATACAATATTTTTATTAAAGGTATGACTGGCGTTTTTGCTTATCAAAATTTTTAGTTTAAGCAAATATGGTTAATGCAACTATCTTATTTATTTGAAGAAATGTATAATTTTTTTGTGTAGGCGAAAGGATGAATGAAGCAAATGCTTTTTTTTAAATTTATCGTTTGTTTGCATTTTAACAAAGTGGCGTTCTAAGGGGCAATAAAACAATATTTACATGCCAAACAAACAACATTATTGCCAAAGGAAAAAGATTATACAAACAATAGTATAAATAAGTCTTCATAGAAAATTTGAAATAAAGCAACATTCACCTCACCAAAAAACGGTAATAAACTCGGTTGATGTGGAGGTGTATACCGATCCTCCTCTTTTACTGGCATCTGTTGTGTTGCTCATGGCAAGTAAAAATCATATATAAAGTCATCTTTGCATTCGCTGATATAATTGAGGAAAAGACAATTTGATTGCGGCTACTACAAGTGGAAAATATCCAAGGTCATCTATGGTCAGCGAGTAGAGAAGGCCATTTCGTTCCCTTAGGAATGTCAACACTATCAGTAGAAAAACACGTTCAACCAAGGTAACACATATGTTGTCAATTAAATAATGGAGTAATTTGAGGTCAATTTCAGAGAACGTTTTGTTTCAACCAAAGTTATTTTTTACAGCGTATATTTTTTTCTGTCCGTCAACAAGATATGTTTTTCGACGTTGGCCATATTTTTAAGACTGATACAATATACTTCAATCTGGCTTCATGTTTACATTGGGGTACACTTGTCTAAATAATACAGGGGTCAAATGCTTTTAATATAATTGCACGAGGGAATTATTCATGTATGTACTCTAAACAGGTCTTTTTTATTATCCGTATCAACATCGGATAGACACCGCCATTAGAATAAGGAGTTTTACCGCTACTATAAAGTCCGGTATAGAAAGTTATGTGGATATTTTTGTAGACCCAGCAATATAACTTATGTGCTGTGGATATCCATTATCTGCTAAAATATGTAATAAAGGCATTTGACAATTTATTAAGTCAATACCAGGTTTCTGTGTATCAAATATGAAATATGGATGTTAGGTTGATTTTAAAAATTGATATGTACATAAGTAGATTGAGCTTTTTATAATTCTTCATTATTTAAAAGACACACTGTTAAAGATACGTTTACATCGTGTTGTTAAAAATGTTTTGTTAATTCTGAACTGAAATTTCATTATAGATTTTCGTTGATATTCCAAGATCTTCACAGTGGTATCGAAAATATTTCCATAGAAATAGTTTTAAATGAAACTGATGAAATCAAGTACAGAACATATAATGATTCCTTTTCCGTAGTAAGTTGATAATTGTTACTAAGTAATGTTCCGTAAACACGTCTGAGAAAATTTAATTAAACCACTTACTGTCAACGGTAGGTGAATAAAGGTGACAATAAATAACGTAATGACATTTTTATATTAACGTACAAAAGAAAGCGATTATATATGTTATTTCATATGAAAAATGTGTTTTTTTTAATAAATAAAAGGAATATTTTTAATCTTTTATTTTTAATACATGCGTCTTTCTGCTTCCTTAAAAACCCATTTTTTTTTGTATTAGTATCAGTTTTATTGTATTTATCAGACGAAGGTTTACTGCTCATCGACGCCTGAATGTTACTGTATACCAAAGGGACAATGTTTTATGCGTTCTGTAAATTTTGAAATCAACAATTGTGACCTTGGTGTACCACTAGCCTTACTAAATGAAGGAACATTCTACCTATCAGTAAAATCAGTTAATACAGCAAGTTTACAAACAGCATCAATATTTCAGGTATTTATGAAACTAATATAATTATTAAGGTAGATCGGGTGTCTAAATTATAATCCATAGAATTTTTTAATAATTTGCCAAAATGTAGTTTATTTCATGCTTTTTTTAAAAAAATAATAAAAAGAATGGGTCACGGGGCTTATTTTCACGCTACAGGTTGTGCAAAATTGACAGATTTTTGTAAAGATAATGCATGCAAAACCCAATTTTCTGCCATAAAACGAAAACTACACCATAGAATTTTGAGATAAAAAATGAGAAGATAGCTCTAATATTATGCTTTCAGATAAGAAAAAGAAAAAATGGGGTCACGGGACCCGTTTTCTTGCTACATAATAAAATAGGTTAATTTCTTACACATTCTATTGTAAAAGTAACTTTATCTGAATTATCTACCCTTACATTTGAGTTGCCTCCCCTTATGGGACAAAGTTGGAAAAAATTGAATCAAACAAAAGTATTCTGTTTTTTGTGAAATTACAACCATAAATATGATAAAACATGTCATTTTCTATATTGAAATGAAAATTTTTACACATGAATTACCGACAACTCTCAAAATTTGCACATTTTATTAAAGATCTAGACCGATTGTTTTCTGGTATTTCAAAATCCAAGATGGAGGAAGGCACCCTATCTACCTTAAACAAATGATTTTGAGCGTTCCTGATGAAAAGAAATCGAGAAAAGGACCATCGGTACCACATTTAAAAAACGTTACTTTTAATGTTTTAAACTTTCAAAAATATTCGACTTTGAAAAACAAGGAACATTTAATGATGACAAACACTTTAGCTATCAAACATTTGTTCCCTTTCAAAGAAAATGTATGCGTTGAGGGATTTATCTTCCGAAAAGAACAATGTTAAATCTCTCTGCAAGAATGTGGATTACGGTCAAAGATTATTTGCATTAAAAACATACGTAAAGATGATGATGATGTTGATGGAGTGTTGGTTGTTAAACGTCCAGCGAAAATTTAATGCATATTCAGGACAAGAACTTATACATCTGATATGGATATGAACCTTGCTTTGTACTAGACACACTGAGCCAGAGTTTTAACGTGCTAGTTTACAACAGTTCGCAGAAAGTCTTCTTACCCTACCCCGACACATTTTTTCCGACTCCTAGCAAACCGGACTTTGCTCTTAATCTTAAATGTCATGTGCTTATCGGAGAAGCAGCAAATACCATATAAAATGTTGGTTTGACACTGATGAGTATCGGACCCACGATCTCCGACATTCAACGCGAGACCACCGAGTTAAGGTGATTTAAATTTTATTTATAACGTGTATTTCAATTGTTTTGCTAGGTAGGAGAAGTGAAATTGTTTAAAGGAATTGATGAATGTAAGTATAATTCAATCACTCAGTTTGTTTTATCTTTAAATGAATTTCTGAGTAATTTATAAAGATTGTCGTTAATTGAATATTTTTCATAGACTAATGGTAGCTAAAACAAAAGGAGAGCTCCTAAAATAGTTTCGATATACTTTCGAGTTTTCCAAGTATACGGATTTTTTTTTACATAATATTGTTTCAAGCCTGTTAAACAATATGTATCAAAACGACCAGAATTTATACAATTCCAAATGTTATACTTCTGTTTCATATATATTATGTAGGTATGTCACCTTTGTTATTGGTGGAGTTCGTGTTGCGCAATCTTTAAATTCCTATGTAGTGTTGTGTAGACTTCTTTTTGTCGTGTTTCTTTTTTACAATGGGGTTTTCAGCTTCTCTTGGACTTATGAATTTTGAATGTCACCTTGGTATATTCGTTATACTTCATATATTCTATAAAGGTTTTGAAAATTCATTTCATCGAGATTAACATGAGCAAATTATCTGAACGGTAGACGTAAACCCAACAAAATGAATTAATTTAATCGGCATTAAATTTCAGCTTATGACATCTATAATTGAAGTACTTCTAACTGTGAAACATTTTCACTTATTTTTGTTGTAAATTGACTGTTTAAAATCTTCGTTTTCAAACTTTGATTTCAGTTTTTATTTATGTATGCACTGAGGTTTTGTTTCATATATATTATGTAGGTATGTCACCTTTGTTATTGGTGGGGTTCGTGTTGCGCAATCTTTAAATACCTACATGTATGTAGTGTTGTGTAGACTTCTTTTTGTCGTGTTTCTTTTTTACAGTGGGGTTGTCAGCTTCTCTTGGACTTATGAATCTTGAATGTCCCCTTGGTATCGGACTCTTTTTTAGACACCACGATAAATAACCTTGTAAAAAGCTTTGCAATATCTGATACCCGGTTTATAATTTGGTACGCCAGACTCATTCGTGGCACTCGAATCTAAAATGTTGGAAGGCCACAACAAATATAAAATTGAAAAACATTAAAAACAAAACAATTCCATTATTTTTGCCAAATTTGGCTAAGGCCATCTATGGTTTGTGTAGAAAATCATTTATAGGTTTTTGAATACTGTAATACAACATTTTATAACAGTTAATTCACAGAAAATGACAGTATCAATTATATTTCATGTCAGCAAAAGAGTGCCGACTACTGGACTTGTGTGACCCTCGAGGACGAAACAACCAGGAGTGGCGTCGACCCAGAGGTTGTAAAAATTCATAAATGATACCAGACTAAAGAAACCACCATTTCATAAAAAAAATACTCATAATTATTGTACAGCAAACTAGCCCTGTACACTTCATTTTAGATTAAAGGTCAGTTGTCAACCTGCGTTGCTGAAATATAGTGATTTTAATGCAAGATGTACATAACAAATATTTCACAAAAAACTTTGAGTCATTTTGACAAAGATGTCATCTGCGACGGCTCTTTAGTAAAATGAACAAGTAAAACTGTGAGCTACTGCTCACTGATGATACCCCCGCCGTAATATTTCGGTAAACAGGAAGTTGCTGAGTGATGAATCTGAAAACGCATCACACGGTGTAACTTACTTATATAAACCCTGAAACCAAATTTCAGAAATCCTTGTCAAGTAGTTCCTGAGAAAAATGCGACGAAAATATTCATGGGACGGACGGATGGACTGACGGACTGACGGAAGGACAGACAGAGGTAAAACAGTATACACCCCCATTTTTAAAGCGGGGGTATAATAAAACAGTATACCCCCCTTTTTTAAAGCGGGGGTATAATAACGAGATCACTTTGCTACATTTACATCATATAAATATTTATATATATTTACCATTGTTTTCTTGCAGATGCAAGTCCTTCCGCAATATTTGTTGTAAATAAAACAAACAGCCAGATTACAATTATGTGGACAAATAAACCAACATGTTACCAAAGACACGGATTTATTATTCTTTTTTCCAAACCAGACAATTCTTCACAAACATTAAACGTTGATGCAAATTCCACTCTATATACATTTGATGGCCTTTTTCCTGGGTCAAATTACAGTGTTGATATATATACCCAGTATGGAAATGGAACACATCAAACAATGAGTTTACAGCCACGTTCTGTGACTGTTACAACAGGTAAGTTATTATTAAATACCCATATAGTCTCTCCTCTGCACTTTTTTTTGTCAACTGCTTTTCATTTCTGTTTGATATCTTTACAGTTGATAATAAATGAAGGAATATATTGAAGAGATTGCTTTAACTTACCTACTTGTTCAGTTTTCTTCAGTCAATTTAAAATCTGGTTTTGGAAAAAATAAACTGTGAAATAACGATTCAACTGAGATATATAATCATACGCAGATGCTGCTAGAATGGTTTGTATCAAAATTGGAAAAGGTTTTGGACTTTTAAATAAATCACTTTTGTCGTATTCTAAAACTTTATTATATGTCGATTTCTAGTTTCTCTTAAATGCTTGTAAAAGGTCCGTATATTATATATATCTCTCTATCTATAAACTAGGTTTAATCCACCATTATCTACATACCTGTACCAAGTCAGGAATATGACAGATGTTTCCTATTTGTTTGATGTGTTTGAGCTTTTGATTTTGCCTTTTGATAAGGGACTTTCCGCTTTGAATTTTCCTTGGAGTTCGGTATTTTTGTTATTTTACTCTCTCTCTCTCTCTCTCTCTCTCTCTCTCTCTCTCTCTCAAGGTTCGAAAATTAGTTTGCTTTCGACATTGTCAGTTTTTTGCTCTTCGTTTTCCCTGAACAATTGTGTTGGTGTTTTCCCTTCTATCTTGAATGACTTAGTTTAATCTCATTGATAATCATAAGACATGCCTTTCTCCCTTTCAAATAATAATATGAAGGTATTAAATATTAGCTATTACAGGTTGTAATTTTGAAATTGACAAAAACTTAACTAAAATTTCTCTGTTGCAGACCAATTCTGCTCCCACTTACAGCCATGTTACCCCGGTAACTGCAAAATTGATAGTGATGGTTGCTTGTGTTCAAACGGATTTAGTGGAGCTACATGTTTGCAAAGTATGTTAAAATTACAATATAGCTTATTTTAATACATATTGTCACTGAAAAATATAAAAGATGTCAATTTTAACAACGAATTTAAAGGTTAATAGATTAACAAAAAACAATTAATGCATAAACTTTTTCATGAAAACAGTATCACATAGACAATTTTAAATCACTTCATTAAAAGTAAACATATTTAGAGTAAATGAACCTGGTGCAAATTCGAATTTTCGGCGTACTAATGTCTTCATTGTGCAATCATATTTAATACAATAAGATATCGATAAAATTAAATCAATGTTTTTATTTTAAACTATTTATTTCCGTGAGAATTCATTTTAATAGTGCTGCATGATGACTTTTGCGTTTTTATTTTAGTTGACGAAGTGTATAGATCGGAATTACTAAGAATAAATTCAACTTTAACTCGCATGGATACAACTACTTGGAATGAGATATCATCCATTTTAGTTAATGCAACAAACAATTTAACATGGACTAATCAAGACAAATTTGATATTCTTGAACTCCACATGGATGCTGTGTTCCATACCAACTCGACAATTGGGTATTCACCAAGTTTCCCAAATTATATAAAATCAGCTCGGGTTGGAATAGCTCAAGGGAATGTACAATTTATGCATAAAACATTAATAGAAGGTAGAGTTTTGTCTGTTTTGATTATTTTCTAATATTTACGCGTATTCAAAAATATTCCCACCATTTTTATCTTGTTTGTATATGCCTTTGGCCACCTTTTTGTCTTCGTGTTCAGACCTTATATTTTATTTTAGATTTTGTTTCCACATTTGTTGCGCTGCGTAACAATTTTATTTCGTATGAATATCAGGAGGTAATGTTGCATTTCTGCCATCTTATACAAATTTATGTGTTTGAGCATGATACTATCACTGCCCATATCTTTACGCAGTTGATACCTCTGATAGCTATCTTATGTCAATCTTATGAAGAATAGAAAAATAGGGTTCGATCTTGCAGTTCCCTTGCAAAGCGTTATTACAAATCTGTAATGATGCTTGTATTGCTCATTATTTTTAAAAATTTCAGACAATTTCTAATATGGTTGAACAGTAGTGTAAATTCATTTTGCGTTTTAGCGAAAATGCATAATAATGCTAAAAGTAATTACAGAAGATATTGACAGTTCAACATAGCATACTTATATATATCTATGATTTAAAGAAAATAAACATAAGCTTTATCTATTTTTAATAACAGGAGATAATGTTACAGTTGTGTCATGTAGTGACATCAGCGGTTTAAACCCTGTTGATGAAATGAATTGTGTTATTCGATTAGAGAGACAATTTAATCTGAACTCCGGAGAAACGTAAGCTTCTGTATTCCGTTCTTTAGAATATGTTCAGTAAAGACCCTTCGGTTCAATAATTGTATTCCGCGTGTTATTAGTTAGCCCCCTTTGGGGGTTTGTCTGAATTTATTGTTCATTAGCTGAACGATGGGTGTTGATATTTCTTTTCCATATGGAATTATCTGCCATTACACATTATCTACCTGATCCCCTTGGGTGGCGACAGGTCAATTGATATGTGTATAATAAACTGTAATGAGCAAACCCATAACGTATAGTAAGATATAAAAGCACTGGCATGACAAAATGCGAAACAAATACTAAAGAGAACTAGTAGCCTGATTTATGCTACAACAATGAAAGAAAAACAAATATTGTAGACAGCAACCAACTACAATAACACGATAACAGACACATAAAGAATGTATAGAGGTTTAACATGTTTGTGATCGCTCAAACATCCTCCATACTTGGGGAAGTTGTATAACAACACGACACAATAACAAGCTGTAAATGAGCACACAAAAAAAGACAAACAAAGTGCCAGTATAGGAGTACTAGCAGTTACTGAAAGTTAGTTCAAAGCCCTTTTTACTAATAAATACATCATGTTTTTCTAAAATGTCAATCAGAAAACGTCCAACTGATTTTGTATAAAGACGCCATAAGCAGTCTGAGAAAAGCATGCACCTGGGCAATGCAAAATATAAGTATGGACAGGATGTAGGATCATAAGTTGTAAAACCTGGATAGCAATAAATGTTTAGCTAGTAGGATTCGCACTTTGTTATTAAAATTTATGTTTTTATTGAAATAAAAAGCGTGTTTTGAAATTTCTATTTCATGTTGAATAATTTTTATATTGTTTTTTTTTTTTTTAGATTTCTTATAACATTTAATGCCCAATCAGGAGGAAATAGGCATCTTATCAACATAGGTGATGGTACCGATGCAGGAATTGAATATTATATCGGTTCCTATGTCACACAGAATCTGGAGTACAGATTTGATTTTGATGTACCTGTCCATTGCACACAAAACACCATTTGTGGCCGTACATCAATGCAGCTTATTCCGGATGTTACAACGGTATACACATGATTCACTTCATTCTTATGCATTTTGATGGACTAGTATTTCATGTTTGATAATTAAATATGATTGGTTCTTTAATGTGATATACATGAATGTCATAACATTTCAATAAAGAGTTTAGTTCAATTGTTGTTTTATCTTTACATTATTATTGTTACACAAATTATTTTTGAATTTTATTTCAAGATGTCTTAATGCACTGCTCTTTTTTTTTCTTTGACAGACAAAATTTCGTCCATCTTGGTCTGGTTGGATGGATGCACTTTCCGGTGTTTATAAGTATACTTTTGAAGTATGGAAAATGGAATACGTACAATCGGAAGATGGGCTACGTGAACCTCTCATAACAAATTCCTCAAATCCTGAACCGTTATTTTTATCCGAAATAATGGAGGATAATATAGTTTTTCCGGATTATCAACCAACTGAAGCTGGAGTTTATTCGTGTATTTTAGAAATAAACGATAAGGCAAATAATTCTGAATATGTGAGGAGGATTGTCATTTATGATAAAGTATCTGATGTGGAATTAAATTCTACAGGTCGTTTTTATGTATCGTCAGCTTCGTCCTCGACAAATTTCACATGGCAAACAAGTTATAATTCTGAAGCTTCTACTGGTGTAGAAATCCAGTGGCAGGGGCTTTTTTCTAATTTCTTGCACGAGCAACAGCATTTTTTGTCAAAAGTTTTGAACTATCAACCCCGACTAAGTGACAATATAAAGCGAAATAACTATAAGCGCATACTTCCTCGATACGATGATAAAGACGGAGACAGAACAACAAGCTCTATATCAAACGTACATGGAATTGTCAGATTTGAAATTGTACACGAGAAGGTTACTAAACAGAAATCAGACTTTCCATCTACTGGATGGGTTACTGTGGTACCTTTTGCTGAAAACTCTACGTTTCAAATATCACAAGATACCATTGGAGACGGAGATTCTCGTCAGGTTTGGATTCGAGCTTTTGACATTATGAACAACAGTAAATCTGATACAACTATGGTTCACTTTGATAGAAGTGGTCCAGTTAATCATCTAACTGGTACTAACTTTAATGCAAACGGACAATATAAATTTACAAGCAGGTATGTTATTTCACTGTTGTCTTTTTATTAACAATAAAATATGTTTTATTACCATAAACGCATAAATTTCGTAAGTCATTATGTACCCATCATGTACATTATACTTAATTGTCTGATCTTCAGTTAAACTTTCAAATTATATGATTCAGCGCATGAAAACAAAATCAAATGTAATTGACCGTGTCTTTCATGGGTCAATAGCCAAAGCAAGGAAAAATATGGAAGCAATTTTTTTATTTATTTTCATTAAACTAATTGTGTTAAGGACTGGAAAATGAATTTTATCCAGGTTCGTTTTTACGACACATTCTTAGTGCTTTGGTACAAACAAGATATATGATATACTGTTCTTAAATTTTCCGCTGATGAATTTAGAAATTATTTAGATTTAACCTTTTTCAAACCACTTAGATATAATTGAATTGAAAGGTCACCATTGGTAATGTAGCTCCTCAAGGATATGTATACGTGTTTGAACGTTCCTAATGAAGGTAAACATAGAAAAGCGCTTAAAGCATACCATACTTTTTTAATGGTCATTTTCATTTTAAATTATCTCTATTAATCACGCAAGAATTACTTTATAACAAAAAAACAAATCATGAAACTTCGAAATGGAAAAATACTTTTAATTAATACTAAACTCGTTCAAAGGGTATCTACACGTCTTAATCTTCAAAATCGATTATCTAAAAATACTACGTCTTTCCACCAACAATACGGTAAGGTCTACGTTTAATGGTCGCACATTTTCCCTAAATTTTGGAACTAATATCACTTGAAAAACTAACCGTATTATATATTTACTACTCACATGAAACAAACCGGGATGCGGTATTCAGTACGTAGGTGAAACTGAACGATATTTATCTAAACGCACGCAAGAACACCTTTATCGTTTTAAAAGACCCCATAAATTCAAAAGTATCATTTATCAACACCTTAAGAAGCACAGTCATCCTTTTAAATAATTAACAGTTCAACCTTTAGAAGTAGTTAATAAGCAGCCTGGGGAATCTCATTCAAAATGTGTACGATCACGAAAAATAATTGAATTAAATTGGATTAAAAAATTACAGACAGTCTATCCTCTCGGTCTTAACGACAATATCATGGGAATTGGTAATATATCTAGAACAGCGACTCTTTTCACAAAATATCTTACGAGTAAAAACACTCTTAAGTCATGAACATTTCAGTATAACTTACGATCAATTTTAGTCGTAAGATTTTTTGTGAAAAGAGCCCCAGATTCTGTTAACATTTTGGATATAGTTTCTAAAACAGTATGTAAAAACTGTTCTCATGGGCGTAGAATAAATCGCAATCAGAGAAAATTTCGTACTAACAATACAAATATTTCGGACCTAATTTCTATTTTAAAAAACAACGGTAGACACTATCTATTAACCAAACTGTTCTTGCCTGTTAATAAATTACATCAAATTTTGGAGGAATGCAACAGAATTCCATATTGCAGTCCTAAGTATGAAATCGTCCAAATTATAATTGCATATTGTTATTCTAAATTGTTTCCCAAAATTGACCACGCTGAAGATCACAAAAAACATTTTATGAAAATTAAATATGTCAATAAAGGTTTTGATTTTGTAAATATTGCCGGTATTTTTAATGATCATTCTGTTAAAGAACAAATTCCTGGCTATTTTGATAATACTGAACTCCCTCTTATTTGTTATGTTTACAAAAAATCTACCCGGAAATATGTGTTTAATTACAGCGAAGTGTGTAAAGATGTTAATATCAGTGACAATACACCTACCTCATGAAATTGCAGTAAATCCGAATACATTTATGGCCCCAGTTCCCATGTTATAACAGGAGACCTTAACGTCGTTCGTGACCGAGAGTTGAAATCATTCCTCAGTAAAGGACCTAAACATCATCCCCCGTCAATTATTAATTGGAATGAGTGTCGTAACATCCTCCACGACTCACTCCGTACTTACTGCCCTAAATGGATAAAACGAGAAAAAGCTGACAAGAAATCATTAGATTCTTTTTTTAATTCGGTAATGAACATAGTTGATATACGTATTCAACATTTTAAAGATCATTTTACACCTAACAACAACCATAATAGCCCAATTTCCCGTATCAAACATAAGCTAAAAGAACTCGCCAAGGAATATATTTTTGTCCCGGCTGATAAGGCTGCTAACAATATCATTATTGTTTGACGTAAATTTTACATTGATGTTCTACAAAAGGAAATCACCATTTCACCAACATTCAAACTGACTCCATTTTTGGAAAATGACATCTGTAACAAACATAAACTTTTAGCTACCTCTTTACAAGCAGAACCAACTATAACGAAAGTTCCAACTATGTACTGGCTTCCGAAGCTGCACAAAACTCCTTACAAATATAGATTTATTTCGTCTTCAAGCCATTGTTCCACTACTTAACTATCTATTCTACTTACTAGTACACTTGTTACAATCAAAAACATGGTAATAAATTGTTCAAATAAGGCCTTCGAAAATAGTGGAATTAATTACTTTTGGAGTGTCAAAAATTCGTTGGAAGTACTTGATAAATTGCATGCTTATATTGGTGATTTCGAATCTGGTCAAAGTTTTGATTTTTCTACCCTATATACCACGTTGCCTCATAATCTTATTAAGAAAAAATTCACACACCTGATTAAATGGGCATTTAAAAAGTCGGAATGCGAATATATATATGTTCAAACTCTTTTAGGTCATTTTTTAGTAACAACAAACAAAAGAACTATGTCAATTGGACCTGCTTTGATACTATAACTGCCCTTGAATTTTTACTAGATAACATTTTGTTCGCTATGGAGATTCCGTATATCGTCAGGTTATCGGAATTCACATGGGGACTAACTGTGCACCACTTATTGCGGACCTGTATCTGTATTGTTATGAGTTACAATTTATGACTAAATTCAGCAAAGACCCATCGAAACAACATCTGATTCAAAAATTTAATAACACTTTTAGATATTTAGATGATATATTGGCTCTCAATAATGACGACTTCAGTATGTACACTAAAGAGATTTATCCTGCCGAACTGACTTTAAATAAAGCTAATACTAACAATGAACACTGCTCTTTCCTGGATCTTGATATCTTTATCTTTAACGGGAAGCTTAATACCAAAATTTATGATAAAAGAGATGATTTTTCATTTCCTATTGTTAATTATCCAATTTTAGATGGTGACGTTCCCTTGTCGTCATCTTATGGTGTTTATATATCTCAACTTGTTCGATTCGCTCGTGTATGTAACAACGAATTTGATTTCAACGAAATAAATCTCTGTATTACTGAAAAATTATTACACCAGGGTTTTCGATATCACAAACTAGTCAAAACATTTACTAAATTTTATCATCGGTACAAGGACATCATTCGTAAATATAAATCAACATGCAGACATCTTATACGTTCAGGTATTTCACATCCAATATTTTATGGTAATATTACAAAGCACAAAAATGTCGGCATTCACCTCAAAAGATAACCAAACCTTTAAACAGACTTATTCGGAAAGGATATAGTTACGATACTGTTGTCAAGTCATTAAGGATTGCATATTTTGGTATTAATATTGATTCACTCATAGGGTCTTTGCATCGGAAATAAACACATTTATTCTAAAACCAGTTGTTGGCATGATACGGGTTATGTTTTTCTCATATATTTTATGATGGTATGATTGTACTTGATTTTCATATGAAGTAGACATAATCTTTCAATCAGTTTAATTGATGTCTGGAGCTGGCATGTCAGTAACTGCTAGTAGTCCTTTGTTCATTTATGTATCATTGTCATTTTGCTTAGTTTCTTTTGTTACCTATTCTGACATCGGACTCGGACTTCTTTTAAACTGAGTTTTACTGTGCGTATTGCTATGTGTTTCTTTATTCTACATTGGCTAGAGGTTTAGGGGGAGGGTTGAGATCTCACAAAACATGTTTAACCCCGCCGCATTTTTGCGCCTGTCCCAAGTCAGGAGCCTCTGGCCTTTGTTAGTCTTGTATGTTTTTTAATTTGTGTTCATTTATATGCTTTGGAGTTTAGTGTGACGTCCATTTTCACTGAACTAGTACACGATTCTATTTAGGGGCCAGCTGAGGACCACCTCCGGGTACGGGATTTTCTCGCTGCGTTAAAGACCCATTGGTGGCCTTCGGCTGTTGTCTGCTTTTTGGTCGGGTTGTTGTCTCTTTGACATATTCCCCATTTCCATTCTCAATTTTATTTCATACATTATAAGGGTAACAGGAATCATCAAAAATACTGTTCAACAAACTTCATCAACACCAAACTTAAAAACTAGATAGACAAACCCTTACAACATCAACATACTGTTTGATCATTTGCATGGTCGAGCTAGCTTGACTTTGCACTGTCATGACATTATGGACCATATGTCGGAAATGTAAAACCGACTACAAAAACCTGCATGGTGCAACTACGAATGTGGTGAACAACATATTTGAAAACCGGGTTAAAATGTGGTCGCTCCTATTTGAAGCTAGCTCGGGTAGCCACAACTGTTGGTTAAATACTGGCGCTCAAAAAAGCCACTAAGCCTCATCATAGAATATAGCTGAAATCGGCAGTATTTGCTTGAGGCTAGTAATTATTTTAAATCGTCAGACCATAAAAAAGAATAATACAATAAATCGTATGCGCTAAAATCATAATAAAAGACAGACTAGTCTTGTGTGCGATCCTATAATATGTTACCATTATTAATTTAAGATCTATTCATATAATTAGGGATGCATAATGCCGTTGATTTATTACAGATTTACAATTATCACTGAAGATTTACACAGTGGCTGTACAAATGTCTCTATTCAACTTAAGCTTGAAAACTCTGATGATATAAAATATCAAACCGAAGAAGGGGTGGAAATTAAGGTAAATATTAAGGACAACTTGTTCAGGTAATTAGAGAATGTATACATGGTAAAACTATCAAATGGAGCATTCCAAAAATAACCGTAAATTAAGGCGACATTGTCTTTATCCATTGATAACAACCATGTGTAAATATAATGTCCATAAATAAGATTCGGATGTTATAATTTTCTCTCATTTATTGAATATTTGGAAGAGAATTACAATCAGTATATATATAAACATAAGAAGATTTGGTATGATTGCCAATGAGACAAGTCTCCACAAGAGACCAAATGACACAGACATTAACAACTATAGGTCACCGTACGGCCTTCCACAATGAGAAAACCCATATGTCCACTGTGTTCTGATTATATAATACCAACAAGAACGGAAAGCACATGTTATCATCATTTTACGCACCAGTATATAATGAAGTTTTAATTAGAAACAAGTATCTGTTTTGGACATAATGTAAGAATTATGTAAGAAGGATCGTGAGCTTATAATGTAGTTAAATACATAAAATTATCTATGTGTTAGTTCCAAGCCACCATCTGTCGTTCTTAATCAAATTGGTGTCGTCATTTGCAATGCATATTGATTGTTTAAATCCCGACTATTCAAAAAATTCTTGAAATCAGCTATTGTCTTCATTAAAGACCTTAGGAAGAGATTAAGACATGCGTGCCTTTTAAATTAAATGCAAAAAGTACTATGGATATGGCAGTATTTACAAATGTTTTTGTTGGTCCTAAATATAATAACGGTTTATACATTTTATTGTATCCACTGGTCACTTTTGGAAGAACACAAATTGTCATTAAATACTCAATTATTTGAATTTGTTATTAATCACATTGTTTATAATTTATGTATTTATTTACAGACCAACGCGCAGTGTGATACAATCCCGGATTGTTACTGTGTGCCATATAATTTATGTATTTATTTACAGACCAACGCGCAGTGTGATACAATCCCGGATTGTTACTGTGTGCCAATGGGACTTTGTTTTTTGCGCAAAATAGAATTTGATGTTAACAGCTGTCTTCTTGCAGTGTCATCAGAGCTATTAGATAACGGCAAATATATTCTGATTGTGGCATCCTCTAACACGGCCGGTCTGAATACGACGTCTGTTTTCGAGGTAAAAAAATTTTACCTCTCTTTATAATTTAACATTAGTTTTCTATTTATTTAAATGTATAATTGAAACTGTGCTTACATATTTAGTTTGGTCTGGTATATGTAGTATTTTTAGTTTGGTCTAGTATATGTAGTATTTTTTCAGGGGCAAACACAATCTAACTTGCGTTGAACTTAACATGTAATATTTAATCACTTTTTTATGACCAACTAAGTTTAAAGTAAGACAACTTTCAGTACACACGTGTCAAGCTTCCGTTGTACATTTTAATGACATAGCATCTTTTTTTTTAGATTGATGTTAAGGATATCGTTGGAATTAACGAATGTAAGTATGGTTGACATGAAATATATTTCGAAAGCAAAAAATAAGCTTTTTATTTCATTGGTTTTTAGTTTTTATTTGCTCTTTTGTAGAGTAGTCTCAGACTTACATACCACCTTTTTTTTATCACTAGACCCTGTTGTAGCCATTGTGTCCAGCATAAAGCTAGTATATTCATCGCATTAGAAAAAAAAACAAATCAAAGTCCGTGTATATAAAAGTAGTAACGTACATACACACCATAATCCTATAGAGGCTTTTCAGAAGCTCATCGTGTCAAAACTGTTCATATTTGATGGATGTTGCTGTTATAACAACAATTTTGTATTATGATTGACATATTGCTATAATCCTATTGAGCCTTTTTAGTATCACTTAAAAATTGGATTTGGCTATTTTTTTTAAGTCCTTTTTGGTCATATAGCTCTTCAAATGTTTCGGTTTATATACAGCCTTGTCTTTATTAATTTTCGTTTCAGATTCAAGTCCATCATCAGTATCGTTCCAAAATAAAACAAAGACAGCCGTAACATTACAATGGATCAACACGCCAACTTGTTATGAACCGAACAGATATATCATATATTTGTTACAACCTAACAATTCTACCAGAGAGTTTGAGATAAGTCCGAACGAAACAACATTCACTATAACAGGTTTATCATCGGGTGTATCCTATAGTATAGAAATGTATACCGAGTACGGAAACCAATCTTTCACTGTTAGAAGTGCAGAACCAGTATATTTACAATTCGATACATCTGACCCAGGTAACATTATTTATGAAAAGGTTTAGGTATTCAGCAACTTGTTTAACCACAAATGCAAGGAAATGTGATATGATTTGCCAATGAGACAACTATACACCAGAGACGAATAGACTTAGATGTTAGCAACTTTAGGTCATAGTACGGCCTTCAACAATTAGCAAAAGCCATTAAAGACCTCGACATGACAAAATGTAAAACAATTCAAACGAAAAAACCGGCAACAGTCTGATTTATATATATAAAACAACAAAGAAAAACAAATATGATATACAGTAACAAACGACAGCCACTGTATGACAGGCTCTTGACTTGGGAAATGCAAATACATAATAATGTGGCAAGGTGAAATATGATAGATTTACCTTATCATAGTGCAAATAATTTAAGTACAATTTTACGCAAACTAAAAAAATAATAAATATACCAAATTACAAAGTAAATATATTTGAAGAAAGTTAGGTTGGTGGAAGAATATCAAATGCCATCTTACTGTAATATGTCCTTTATCCTGTAGCTGAATATTTTGTATTTGAAGCTGAATATTTTGTATTTGAAACGTAGTTTTTTTTCAAAAGATGTAATGTTGTAATACGTTATTACTGTTATATTTTCAGAAGAAGAAAGTAGCAGTCTGAACCTGGTCCCTATCATTGTAGGGTCAGTTATCGGCTTTATTCTACTAGTCATTATTGCTATCTTAGCAATAGTGTATTTCCTGAAACGACGACATCGTAATTTGTGTGTTGGACCAATCTCAGAACCTGATGTTATAAACAATGCTGCTAAAGCACCGATGATTAAAAAGTCGCCTACTATCAAAAGGAAATTGTCAATAAGTGCTCTTTCAATTCCTGAAAGTCCATCATTAGAAAAAGCAAATAAGAGATTGCAAACAAACATATTTGATATAAGTTTACCAAAAGGAAGAGCCAAAACTTTGCCTCCTTTACCACCATTGAGTTCAACTATACAGAAACAGCCTTTATAAATTCGGTGTTGAATAGTTTAAGCTCATATGTTTTTCGTGTATAATTACAATTTTCTTATTTTCACCCACCTTAAAGTTTATTAAAAATTGTGATCAGTTGATTACTTAGATTATGTTTAGATAACCTGTTACAGTTTAATGGTGGCATTTTGTAAACTATATTGTATGTACTTAGTGTATATATATACTTAAAAATTACAGAATTGAAAATTAGTATAATATCAGATAATAGTATACTTAATCAATGTGGAAAAAAGCAAACGAAACACCACATATCTGCAATAAGTTAAAACAATGAACATATATATCATGTTATGGAGGGGTATTTGCGAAAAATACCAGTCAAGGGACTGTGAAATTTGGTCCCAAGACTGGTATTTTTCGCAAATACCCCTCCATAACATGATATATCTGTTTAATTACACAAAATAGATTTTGATTGAAACTCTCTGTACAGGTGAAGGGAAATCTTTTTTTTTTACTAGTAAGCTGTTATCCATAAACATGTTTATGCATAATTTTGAGGATAAGTAGAGACTATCATAGTACCGCGGGAATTATACATGTACTTATACGCGTTAGCGCTGTCTTTATGCAACGTCATGGTATCTATGTTAATTACACCTTATATAAGAAAGCCAGATTTCGATTGGTTGATAGCCAGTGTATTTTTCGCATATTCTAATATTTTTTCCTCATTTCAAACGAATTTGCCTGTTTTTCACTACTGCCGGTGAATTTGCCTCAAATACCATGGTATTTGCCATTTTGGATATTCATTTTTTACCCTCTTGAGCATTTTCCCGCCAAAATTTTTCGGATATGTTACATAAAAAAGCGAGCTAACGCGTATTAGTACATGTATAATTCCCGCGGTTCTATGATAATATCCTCTTATCCTCAAAATTATGCATAAACATGTTAAGGAATAAGTTTCAATCCAAATCTATTCGGTGTAATTAAACAGATATATTATGTTATGGAGGGGTATTTGCGAAAAATACCAGTCTTGGGACCGAATTTTTTTACAGTCCCTTGACTGGTATTTTTCGCAAATACCCCTCCATAACATGATATATCTGTTCAGTAAACGTCATTGTCTTTCCATCATTAAATCGTTCGTTTGTATAGACGTCTTTTTCCACTTTATAAACACAACGCATTCTTCAATATACGATCACGAGATTGGTGCCGTGCAGTCGTGTTGTCTGACAATTTTGTATACAGTTTTTCGGATTACCTCTATCAATCAATATTGCTTAATCATGTTGCCTTACAATATACAGTTATGGCCCGTTGAAAAGGTGAATATCCCAAATTGTCAACACGAGAAGGTTATTTCACTGAGGGCGCAGCTTGCTTGACACACTCTTCTTTTACTCAATTTTCAAATATGTGTCTTAGAATTCTCGTATGTACAACAAAGGTAGATTCTTTTTGTAAAATATTGATGGCCCTGAAAAGGACCGTTATTAGAGATATCATCGGCACAAGATGCACGTCAAAAGCCTTATTTCCTCTTCTCTCGATCAATGGGCTTCCTGTAACTTGAACGTGCCATTTTGTTTATTTACGTCTGTGACGTCATTTTCATGAGTACAAATCAACAAACTAAAAAGGTTATTCGCCGGTGAATAATAGGGTTATTCAACGCTGGTGTAAGTTTTTAGGGTTATTCGTTCTTCCTTGCAATTGAATGAAAATTAACTGAATTATTCCATGTCACGCGATAACGTTTTAAAACCCAATAGAATTGTTTGAAATATATGTAAGGTATAATAATAATCGGGATAAGGTGATAAAGGTTCCGAATAATTTTGGCGGGAAGAAGCTCGCGAGGGTAAAAAAGCAATATCCAAAATAGCAAATACCACGGCACAGACAGTCGGAAAGCTGAACCCGGTTTGACCCCATTTCTTAAAGCAACAATGGAAGTCATGTGATTACCATATATGGGCATTTTTTTACCAAAAAAAGTGAAGCCCGTTTTTTGGAATTTGTAGTTTTTTGCATGAATTAAAACTAATTTGCTTTTAAGTGAACATTCTTGAGTATATAAGAAATATATTGATCCACTCAATTATGGATTAAACTATTTTTTTCTCTCAAAATGTGTCTTCAAAGTCTAGGTGTTGACCAAAAAAATCGGTCACTGGAAATTAAAATCGTAATTTTCTTTCTTAACTTCTCGGGAAGCTATGCTGAATTTAAATTATGTTATGTAACATAACTTTGACTATGATATGTCAAATTTGTGCCACTTAATACGCTGTAATACGCAAATGTGCCACTTCGATCTGTCGATATTTCTGACGAAGCGGGGCCGATAGTAATTTACGAGTTACGTCCCTTTGTTTGACACTCTCATGATCAAACTATTATTATATTAAGCACCATATGCTGTTATTTACATGAGGATATTATTAAAATAATTTTATTGAATATATTTTGATACTAAAGACATGTGCAAAAAAATTAGCGAAACACATTTTATCACTTTTCAGAACTCAGTCTCAGTGAAATACTCAAATAGGCCCTATGTCAGTATGTGCCATAATATTATTATTCCAAGAGTTAATTTAATATTTATATTTTGGTAAGTATTTATACTGCTGTAACCAAATTATTTCAACACAGAAATAAATTTCTACTTAAATCATACAAGGGGTAGCCAAAGTATTCATGAATAATGGATCAAGACAGGATTAAAATGATCAAATACAGGAACTCCTTTTCATTACTGATACCTGATCCTACCTTTTTCATTTAAACTTAAACGAGACCATAATGAAAGTATTCTGTATGTAAATTCTTCATTATTTGAAATAAAAGGAAATTAGTTTGCAATTCTTGTATGAACAAACTAAATATAACAATAAATTTTGTCTCACTGATTCCATGCAGATTCTAATGAATGGACTCAAATTATAAAAAAAAACACTAAACCAATAAATAAATGGTTCTAATCATGAACTTGAAAATAGATAAGAACAAAAAAGACTGGGTCTAATATTTTTCTTCTTCTATTTTTTTTTTTTAACAATTATGCATTTTTATATTTATATAAAAGTATTTCAGAGCAGATTCTGAGTGCTAAGTCAACAATATTATGTTTTAGATCACAAGTCATAAGTCAGTATGAACATGCTTTGAATAAGAGTGATTAAAATGCTAGTCTGAAAGAGATTGTTTTAAGTTCATATTTAGACTTTTTCATTTACCTTTGGCAGTTTTGGCTTTTGCAGGATTACTTCATCAATATTATAAACGATGAATGAGTTTTGGTTAAGGTTGTGTAAAGACAGTATACGATTTCCTTACCTTGTTTTAGTTAAGTCAAACAATTCACTGACTTGTAGAGAATAATTAATCCAGTCAAATATTCACAGCTCGCCATTGCTTTTTCAAACAAACACACTAAATGTGTGTACATTGTGTAAAGATGCAAGTTGACATCGATGTGTAAGATAAAAAAACTACAATGTCAAAAAATGTCTTTCGTTTGGAATTTAGTTCGAACGGGGTTTCCTAAGGGGTGATAGAACGTTAGACTTGATTTTTGTTTTAACTTTGAGATACTTATCATTAATTTTTTATATAGTTTGTATATTCTTTGTTTATCTGGGAAAAAAAATTAAAAAAAAAATAACAGACAATTTCGCATAATTCTTAAACGACGATCAAAGGCATTACGTTATTTTCAAAAGACGGACAATTTATAACATGTTTAAGTATTATTTCCTTTGATAATAAGAACCATGCTTGAAAAATCGAAAGAAATCTATTTCTGACTCTAATGGCAAGTAAGAAACAGAAAAAAGAAAAAATTCCAAATTGGCGCCAAATTATTTTTTCCGCGAAATTAACGCAATTTCAGAATGGCGGGTTTTAATATCAGTCCCATTGTTGTCTTAAGAAAGTAGCAACAACGGTCGTTTCTAAGGGCTTGCTTTCCGACTGAGAGGGGAATTTGAGGAATATTCATCGGCTGTGGTGAAAAAACAGGCAAAATCGTTTGAAACGAGGAAAAAGGGTTAGAATATGCAAAAAGTACACTGACTATCAACCAATCAAAATCCGGCATTCTTATATAAGGTGTAATTATAAAGAAAAACGGACACATGTAAGCAAAAACAATGAAAACTACAATACTATAGTAAAACGAAATCAGACATTACAAAGATGTTGATATCTTATTTGCTTGACACACTCTTCTTTTACTCAATTTTCAAAGCCAATGATATGTCATATCAGTCCGATACAATGACAGATATCTAGTTAAATATTTCTTCTGTTAGAAATACACTTCACACTCAATTATAACATGCATATTTAGCACGATGACTTGTCAGTGTAGTATGAATATACCCTGTTTTGTACTAGACACTGAGCCGGGTTTTGAAAATGCTAATTCACACGATAGAAATCCACAGAAAGACATACCATCTTACCTTTACCCAAACTCATGATTCTGAATCTGAGCCGACCAGTTTTTCTTTCATTCCTACATGGTTCATAAGAAGTAGAATATATATTTATGTAATATTTGTCGCTGACCGTTAGGCATGTATCCTATGATTAACTTTTCGCTGTGTTGTTTCTCTGACTAATGTGCTTTGTATATAAAGTATGGGCCAATATTGTGACACAAGCCATTAAATAGAGAATCAAATGTGAAATGTTAAACCTTTAGGCAAAATGTAGCTGTTAGTAGATATGAAAAAGTGTAATATTGTTAAAAATGTTCTAGTAGTTTCAGATGAGAAAATTTTATCTAATTTCTCAAACTTTTTCCTGGTGTTCAATATCGGCAAAAAAGCCTTGATCGTTCAACAGAATTTTCAAAGATAGCCTGAATAAGTACAATCACAAAATGTGGTTTGGTTAAACCAGTTTAACGCGAGCACGCAACTTCCCTTTTACCATTTGTTGTATAAGTAAAATAGACAATAAAAGTTCTATGGCAAGTTACCAACAGGATGACTACTATCTTTTTATATTGAGCCCTGCTGTTTTATTAACAATGCGACTTTCCTAGATATTGCTTACTTAGCCTTCATGGAGGTGTAGAAATTATATGACAAAGGTTTGTTGAAATCTAAAATTGGAGTAATAAACTATTTTAAACGTATTTCATTCAGTGAAGAAAGTTGCTAGAAGTTGAGGCTTAATCCAAAAATAGTTTAATAAATTATAGTCACCTTGGACATTTTATGGCGTTTCATTTGAAAATCTATTCAAAATCAACTACAAAAAATGATTTACACTATAGAGTTTATCTTGTTTTCTTGGGAAGCGTTAGAGCGTGTAAACTGATCAGCATTTTTTTTAAATTTAATGCACCTGAGTAAATATGACGAATATAATTTTGAAGGGAAAAAAAGTCATTATGGACCTTGAATGACCTGTCCTTTGATTTTGTATCTCTAATGATTTTATTTTCCTTGCTAGAAATAGCAACTATTTAATATTTTACAGACCCTACACACACTTGAATGGTCTACAAAGCAAACAACGAATTATGCAATTCACTTTATATTGCATATCAATAAATTCAAAATTTCGATGACAATAATACATCCCTGTGTAATCTTGTACACGGATATTGTCTTTGGTGTGCCGTATATTGCAACAAATTCACCGTACATTAGGATAGCTTAAACGATAAACCAGAAGGTAACTCTTGTACGAGACTTTTCATAAAAGGGACTAAATATGAACCCCCTATTACCAAAGATAACGAAAATCTCAATCTACGATGAGAGAATACTTATTCATTGAAACGTTCTATTGACATGAGCTTACGGCGATAACCAGACCAGTACAACAATACCGCCATATAAAACTAACTGTAACAGAACCATTCTCAACTCTGGAAACATAACCTCACAACACTCATTTATAGAACAGCCCTGGGAATATTCCCGAAATTTGTATGAAAACGGATGTAGAAGTAATAGTGCAAAACAATGATATAATATGGTATATTTTGCCACGCCAGGGCCTTTTATAGTTTTAAATTTTTACATGGTATAAGTTTTGATAGTTGTTGAAAGTCGTAAGGTGTGCGGCGACTTATTATTGTTTTTTATCCTCGACTTTTTGTCACTGGTGGACAGTTGTCTCATTAGTTTAAACATATTGTATTTGCTAAATCTAAGCAAAATGGATGAGACACAAGTAAATCATACTTTTGAAGTCTTCTCCATAATACAATGTGAGTATAAATTATATGTAATAATATTATCAGCGTCCATGTAAAACGAACACATTAATTGGATATTATACAAACTATAAATAAATAGAAAAAAGAAAAGAAAAGGAAGAAGCTGTCTCGTGTACCACATTTCCTTATTTCCATATTATATGAAACAAAAAAACTGGCGTATGTGATGGATATTTCAGCTTTGAATTCACACCAAAAGAAGAAATAAAATGCAAAATCCAGAATAGTAGAATGAACATAATTTGTCAGCATAGTAATCGTTTTCTTTTCTGATTGCAAATACTTTCTTTTGTTTAAAATATTGTCTGCATTTATGTATTTATTCCAAGAATCATTGACTCATACAGTGAAATAGAAAATGAATATATAACAAATTGCATTTTTCTGTGTCTTTGATTAATCAAATAAGATGACACAGAATCGTTTCCATGGAACAGGATTTTCGCCGGGAATTATGTATAATTAACATCAAATGATGTTCAAGACACGTAATAGGATTGACATTCCTTTAAAACGTAGCACTGTCAGTAAAGGAAAATAACTACGGTAAATACACTTGAATTTGAAATAACAACTTTTTTTTTATTATTAAATGGTAGAAAAGTTGCTGATCGGGGTTTTGAAAACTTACTTGTACAAATGTAAGTACAGTTAATTTTTGTGATTATAGTTCATGGAATTTATAAAGATTTTTTTTAATGTTTTTGTAGCCTTTCTTCCGCTGTCCACTCGCCAACTGAATTAATCTTATTTTTAAGAGATAAACGAGAAACAGTTTGTTTCCAAAATCTCAACGTACATATAACAATCTCCAAAAGCGGTCAAAAATAAAGCAGTGTTTTTTAATATAAATACGTAATAAAAGACAACATAGATGAACATTTAAAAGAGTTCATTTCCATCACAAATTCTGAACTTCATAAATCGTATATGATTTACTTTATAAACAAACTGGGTTATTTATTTGTCTTCAAAAATAGATAAAAGATTACAATGAGTGGAGTTCAACAAAAACAGACAACGCCCAGGTCAAAAATAAACACTTCGAAAAGACAATAATAGAACAACACACAGAAAACCAAAGATTGAGCAACACGAAGCGCACCAAAAACCTGGAATGAACTCAGGCTCCGGAAGGGTCATCAGTTCCTATCTCACATGTGTCACCAATGGATTTACTCTAAGTCATGTCTAATGATTAGACCTTGTCCGATAACGAATTGTTAGATGTCTTTTGTCTTACCCTTAGACCAACAAATACCATTTGTACATCTTAATTCTCTTACCCTTAGACTTGACCAAATGTGAACGTTTGAAATGAAAACAGGGTTTCCCGGGAATAAGGATAAGTGAGACCTTTACCGGGAGAGACAACACAAGATATTGAAAAAATAGCATTATACAAAAATAAAATTTACAAAAAATACATTAATAGGTATAAAATATATCATCATTTTAGAAGGCCTTTAGTGATAACGTGAAACAGTTTATCCCAGCTGTCGACCCACTATTCAGAACCTATCTATTGGATGTGTTGTTGATTTGGTTTCGTCTGCAATATGCATGACATACTTGCCACAGGACTCATCTATCATTTATCATATAACGAGGAACAATAAAAGTAAAAAGGCCTTTAACAGTAAAGAACGGTATAATATAGACTGCAGTCAGGAACCTGTTTCAGTTGTTGTCGTTTGTTGATGTGGTTCTTAAGTGTTTCTCGTTTCTCGTTTTTTATATAGATTAGACCGTTGTTTTTCCTGTTTGAATTGTTTTACACTAGTCATTTTGGGGCCCTTTATAGCTTGCTGTTCTGTGTAAGCCAAGGCTCCGTGTTGAAGGCCGTACTTTGACCTAAAATTGTTTACTTTCTACACATTGTGACTTGGATGGAGAGTTGTCTCATTGGCACTCATACCACATCTACTTATTTCTATATGCAGAGGTTTGTGAAAATATTATCGATATCAAAAAAGAAAATAGCATTTAAATAAAACTAAAAATCTACATGAGCTGAAAATCAATGTAAAAAAGATTTATTTAAATCCCGAAGGAAATGTCTCAAGAAGAAGAAAATATAAAATAGAGTATTATCAACTATATAAACGTGGGAACAGAAAATGAACAGCCCGAAGCCAAATCTCAAAACTATTTGATTTCGTTAACAGCTTATTTCTGCTCCATAGAATAACGATGACACACAAGAATACTTACTTCCATTATTCAGACAATCATGGTTGATAAATCGGAAAAAAGTAGCTTGTTCTAAAAAAACGCAAAAATTACAAGCCTTATTGTGGTGATTTATTTATAAATGAATATACAAAAGCAAAGTCATATGTTTTCATTGAAATATATATTCAACTGTTTAATGTAATACTAGACACAGGAATCATACCTGGTAATTCGATTATATGTGACTTAAAACCATTTATAAAAACAAGGTAGAGGGCAAGATCCTAAAAGATATACGACGATCTGAAGATTTTCCCTTTCTATGTGAAATCGTTTTACAGCAAAATACAACTTTTTGTCGTCTCAAGGTTTTTATTCTTCAATACATGTGTATATCCTTGTCCTTTGGTCTTTGATAGAGAGTTGTCTCATTTGCAATAAAAACACATCTCCTTTTTCACTTGTTTTAAATATTTTAAATTCGGAAATCTAGTCATTTATAATAGAAAATCGACACTTTCAAAAATTTACAAATCGTGTTGACTTCTCACTTATGTTTTGTTTTCTTTACCATTCTCGTGCATATGATTTGTTGTTGTTGGTTTAATAGAAGTACTAAACGACGGACGGTGGAAATAAAATAAATGCAACATCTTATACTAGGTTTACTGGACTGATTATATTTAGAAATATTGTGCAATAAAGATTTGGCTTGTAATCAACACGTTACCAAAAGGTAAAGGAACACAAAAATATAAACATACACACAAAAACGTCAGGAGAATGTGATGGAGCTGAGCTAGTATCATCGGAAAATTTTAAGTAGCTGCTGTCGTCGACATAGAGTTTCCAAATAAAAAAGTTCGACGAGCCCTTGACTGTTTCGTTTGAAAAGTGCGTATTTAAGTTGTTAGAAACAAACCATAAATACCCACTTTCACCAAAAGCAAAGGAATCTATCCACTCGATCCTATAGTCATTAGCAATCTCTGTCTGTCTTCCAGGTTTGACGTTGTCTGATATTGGTTTCATCGACCACTGATACACACTTCTTGGTCCTAATGTGGAATAATACAGATTATGTTTCTGACCATAGTATATTCCATCACTCTGAGCCATTTTGTTTCCCACATGAACTACCTCCCTTTCAAAATCAGAATTCGAAGATGTGCTTCTGCGCAACACAGCTGTTGGGATCCTGTATAAACCGACTCCAGCTAGAGGACAATAATAAACGTTTTTAAGATCAGATGACATTGCAATGCCATTTATTCCAAGAGGGGTATACAAGTTTGTGACGTTACCTATTGTTATAGAGGCATATTCAGGTACTGGCTTCATTGATGGATGACTAAATGCATATGAAATGTCAAGTTCCCTGTCGTAAACAATTAATCTATGCCCTAAGGTGTCTGATATGTATGCCCATCTTGCTGTTTTATTACTATGAAAGTCCAGAACGATGTCATTCAAATAAAACATACCTGGCCCGGTGACAGAAGAAGGAAATGTATGTCGATGGATTTCGACGTCATTTTCCAGGTCCCAGATAATGATTTTACTGCGGCACTGATTAGCAATGTTAATATTGGCACGCGGAACAAAGCTTGTATCTATAATCCACATATATCCTGTATAAGGATCAATCTCCATACTTTGAATTAATCTCAGATTTGAGCAATCCCCTTCAAGATGTATATCCCAATTAGGATATGGAATAAGTAGCGGATTCTTAGATGTTTCATTCTTAACTTTTACCAACGAAAAAGGTACACCGTCTTTAAGCTTTGGAATTGTCAAATAGATGTCATTCTTGTAAATTTTTATTCCATTTATTGCATTGTTCTCAGGAATAAATTTCTTGCTTTGTATATACTCATCTTTAACTGAAGAATTGGGCCACACTAAATCAACGGTCTCCCATTCGTAAACAATATTTGGTTTAACAGAGCATAACACAGTAAATATTCCGAAAGCTTGACAATAAAACACGAACGCTAGATAGTTTGCCATCTTTCTCACTGTCAGCGAAGTCGGTTAATTGAATGTCACACACAGATATCTAATTACGTAATCTTCCTGTTATTTGCAGCAACGATTCACAGGCGAAACTGTCAAATCATTGTTCATGTGTTTTGTAACTAGAAATATAGGTCGATCATTTTTACATGTATGGTAAAAGTTGTTTGACCATCCCTTTAATACCCGATAGGACATGTATTTTGATCATTATTATCACGACTTTAAATGTTTTGTTGTTAAATAGAATAAAGTAATAAAATCATAAAATATAGCGTGGTTGAATACACTTTTTAAGACACTGTAAATAATCACGTAGGGTTTATACTGCCATAACGAACTTAATAAGATATCATATATATATATATATATGGATGTGTGTGTGTGTGATTATTTATGGATAAAAACTGAATATTTTATTCATGAAAAATAAAATTCAGTACGTGCATCTATCACTTAAATTATCATAAAGAAAAAGAAAAACTTGAATTCTACATTGTATGATCGCTTTAGTGGTTGAAAAGATGAGGACTATTAGCATTACATTGCCATGGCATACATTTAGATCAAATACAAAAATCTCTATTTTACTAATCTATTTATTTTGTGACTTTGTTGAACGCATCTATCCAATCGAACTAGAAGGATGCGTATAGTTAAGGCTGTCTCTTCACTTGCATTTTGAAATTGACAATGATGATCAGTTGAGAAGTCAACTTTAAAATAAAAGAGAATATCTTAGCTTACCAATTATGAACTTTTGCTTACTATTCTATGCTCTTCACAGGGGATATGGGCTCATATTCCCTGGCAGTCTTTTGTATCTCCTGAGCCGTCAGTCGAAGGGGATATAAAGACCATATGAAGCCCGAATAACAATTATATTATACTTGAGTCTCTTAATTTCAGCATTAATTACCATTTTGATCTAAGTTTTGGGTCACATGGTATATGGGCGCATGTACCCCTCATATACCATGTCAAGGTAACCAATACCATTAGAATCAAACATTTTTTGTCAGATGAAATTTTTCTATGCGGATCGACGGAACTCAGCTACAAATATATAAAACATCGAAATATTCCTGGCAGTTCAAAAATTCATACTCAGTAGCAAAAGATTTATCATATGATTATAAACATCTTGTTCTACATGTCTACAGTGCATCAAAATAATTGAGTCCGTTCAGGAACATGCACTTCACTACTGTATTTCTGATATATCTGATTTTTTTCTTCTTCTTGTGTTCACAACATTATTATATGGTTTGTGTGTTTTCCATTTAGTGTAGCGCTATCTAATTTTTATACATTCTACTTCTTGAGTATTACATGTATGAAATGTTCTTACTTGTATTAGGAAACGGATTATTATAAGTTAACAGCTGGTTTCCGAAATCGAAAAATTATTCAATTGTATTTACAATCTATTTCTCCAAATTGTGTTTATTATTCAACATTAATCAAATTTATAAAAATATTATGTTTACACTAAGGCAACCAATCAAATTACAGGATTAGGTTGGATAGTTCACTCCAGTATGATATATAGCAACATCCCAGCAGGGACAGAATATGGAGTATTTATCTCACAGATGAGTCGATATTCCAGAGCTGGCATTTTCCATCATAGATTACTTGTTAGAGGGTTGCTGCTTACAAGAAATTACTGAACCAAGAGTTCATATTAGTAAAGTTGGAGTGATCCTTTGTTTTATTGACGATATGATGATTTGGTTGACCGTTATGGAATATCTGTCAGTCACAGACGATCAGTGATCTTTATGTTGCGATTGTTGAAGCAACAATTCCGTTAAGTTGGTTCACTCCGTAAAAATATTGAGTTTGCCTTCGGTGAGATTCTCCCCGTTATTTTTGTTTTGTTCGTGTTACTCAGTTTTAAGTTTTCTGTGTATTGTTTAGTAGACTGTTTCTGTTCGTGGTTTATCTTTTTGGCCATGGTGTTTTCTTGGTTTTTTTTCCGACTAATGATATTCGATTGTCTCCATAGTGTTTTCCACCTCTTTTTTCAATTATTGCTATAAAAATTGTATCTGTGTGTTTTCTATGAGTGCTCATTCGTGTCGTTTGATCTGTCTTTTATATTTGTGAATAAAACGAAAGGGCTGCTTGTAGATTTAATAACATTCACTGAGTTCCTAAATGTTAAATAAGTCTCCAAATTATTATTATCCCAAATAGTCCGTTTATAAACATCAGACAGTTAATATACACATGAACAATATTTGTTGATGCCAAAATACAGGCAAAAATAAATTTCCCTTGTCAGTCCCTTTCTTCGGTTGTATTTTGTCAAATGTCAGTTATTTGGTATCATACTTTTCTTTGCTGGAGCTGCTTGACGCCATTTTGAAACTCTACTAAACCTGCCCCAACCCAGGGTTGATGTCGAGTTAACTCAGGTAGGTTCAAAAGGTCAAACTCGATTGTCAGACAGACTCTACTAATCCGAGTTGGACGAATCGAAGTGAGGTATCCCATGATGCAAATTATTGAACGTATTTATGAATTTTTAAGAACATATATATATTTAATTTTATGAACACATATTTTAATTTTTTTTAATGAACATTTTTTGTTTAAATATATATTGAACGTTTCATGAATTTATATTCAACTTTTTATGAAAATATATATTTAACTTTTATGAATAATTATTTGGTTTTATGAACAATTATTTGGTTTTATGAACAAGTTTTGTTTTTATGAACAATTATTTGTTTTATGAACATTTATAATTTTTTGAGAACAAATATTTTTTTATTATAAACATAAATTTATGTTTGATGCATATATATTTTATTTTATGAACACATATATTGACTTTTTGAATCTATATTTTGTTTTTATGAACATATACTCGTTTTTACGAACAATTATTTAATTTTATGAACATATATTTTGTTTTTTGTGAATATTGCAACGTTTGACACGCCATAATAAACAATTCAGTATCTACATGAAGTATAATTGGCTATTGTAGATGCAATATGCAATACGCCACATTGATTTACGTATATCAATGAAAGTAGGAAGGCAAGTCAGTACAATTGGACGAAATTAGTAATAACTTACCTTTCCGTTCTGTTGGTTTTATCAGCAACCAATTAAAACTGTGTCAAATTGATTACAAAATCTAATCACATATTTTCATTATCATTTATTTGTACAATCATGTTAAATTGTAAATAGATACATGTACTACATGTAAAGAATGTAATGTTAGAAATATGGTTTTATTTTCGTTTTTGATATATTTGTCGTTTTTATATTTCGCCCGTAATTGTGAGGCAATAAAGACTGTAAATTCTTGTAAATGTGATTTGGAAAACGGACAAGTTATCGATCTGTCTAAATTGGCTAAGAAAGGCGGATCAGCAAGGTAAGTTCGGATATTGTTGTATATTCATTGAACGAGTCTTATTTCTTTTAAACATTGGAAGATCGTTATATTTTCGATGGCTCAATCAATAGCTTTTATAAAAAGTTTGTCAAATTGATACTAAATTTTTGCTTTTACATTTAAGAACTACAATATATTTCACTATTTTGTAGATTTGTTGATATTCCTGATGCTGTTGGTACTGATACGTTTTCGTACAATCCATGTGAAGGATTTACTCAAGGATCTTGCAGTGATGTTGCGGTAGGACTAAAAGACGCTCTGTTTAAACGTTTAAAAGAGTATTTAGTATCAACTGTCATTGTGCATGTCTATTATTTTTTTTATCAAAGTTAGATTACCCACTATGCAATTTCGACATATCGTATCTATAAAATTGTTCTTAGCCACTATTGTATTCAGTGACAATTTCACATTATCTTTCTTACGTAATGTCATTTAGCTTTTTTCATTCAATTATGTATTATTGATCCAAATTATTCAAAGTGTTTCCACTAGAAAAATACATATCAACAAAAAGGTGAAAAGGGAATGGCTACGATGTCGAAAAAAACACCGATTTAAATCCCACCGAGGGAGAACAAAAATTTGCTACCGAAAAAGCAGATCTACCATTTTGTGGGGCTAAAATCATGACGAAATATTTTGCGGTTGGGGCCTGTTATTTATTAACCGCATGAAGAGATATTACTGGTATCACACTGAACGGAGTGTGGTATGCATTAATTTTTGCAATATGCTACGAAATTGCGATATTTCCATTGGCTATTTATTAGGTCAATGATGACTTTCAAAGGTCAGAACGGACTACTTTTCCTCGGTGATTTCTTCAGTAATATACAAAACACTCACTTGTTTCACCAGAAGAAAATCTTTAAGTCAAACTGGATTCCATTCTGAGGCGTACAAAAAGCTTGAAAACCTCTGATGTTAATATTTAACCCAGATGCGGGCTTATCATGAGATCATACTGTTAAGGTGCCAAAGACAAGAACAGTTTTTTCATGGCTTTTCTTTTTTACACAAAGATTTTTACTATAAGAGAAATTGGATCATTGTATATCGTTTAATATCAACTCTCGTTATTAAATTTCAATAACAATAATAATAAAAAAAAAACTCGCCACAGGCTCGTTTATCGTCACAATGAAATTGCTCGATATGAGATAAAAAGAATATAAAATGCTCACTCGTTATGAATCCTATAAACATATTGCCTATCATATAACATTGTGATAATTTTATATTAATAGGTATGTCAGATGAGAGGTTCAGATTATTTTAATGCTGGGGACCAAAAAGGGGCTGTATGTTTTCAAGATACAACAGGAAGATCCATCGTCTATACATCCGATTCTCCAGTTATGATAGGAAATGTGAAAAGGTCTGTATAATAACAATTTTCTCTATGGCGATTTTATTATGTGAACAATTGTATTAGTTTTGCATATAGGTGAAAGATATACAACCTCATAAATGCACATGTACAAACAACAATCTAAAATATTTTATATCTTCACAAAGCAATAAATGTACATGTTACAATAGAATTTATAATGTTGAATTCATAACAAAACGGAGAGTACTTATTGCAAGAATTTTTAAGCAAGTTTGGCATAGAACTACAAATTCGATGTAGAAGTTTACACATACCAATTAGACTAAAAGAAACGTTAAGTTTTAAAAAGCAATATCTTCCATTTTTCACAAATCAAACGAAAACAATTAAACTTAAAAACAGTTGTCTTCATATAACATTAAACAGGAATATGAAGAATAAGTTACAAGAATCTATTTCAGTAGCCAAGAAAGGATAATTAGATTATATCTACTATGTTGCCCTGTCATGTTATACGTACTAAGAAAGGGGAAAAGACACCAGCGAAATCCGAAGATTTTTCATATTTTCCTGTGTAGACTTTTTTAAGCAGATGTACAAATAATTAGCCAAAAGACTCAAAATATATGGAAATTGGTTCCTTTGTTTTCCTCTTATAGTTGATGTGTTTCCCTCGGTTTTGGTTTGTAACCCGGATTCGTCGTTTTCTCTCAATCGATTTATGACTTTTGAACACCGGTGTACTACTGTTGCCTTTATTTAGATTGTATGTAAAGTCTATTTTGTTATTTCTATTCATATTTTAGATACATAATGCCATGTGGGTGATGTTTAAATGTTTAAGATACCTAATGACATGTGCGTGATGTTTAAATGTTTAAGATACCTAATGACATGTGCGTGATGTTTAAATGTTTAAGATACCTAATGACATATGCGTGATGTTTAAATGTTTAAGATACCTAATGACATGTGCGTGATGTTTAAATGTTTAAGATACCTAATGACATGTGGGTGATGTTTAAATGTTTAAGATACCTAATGACATGTGCGTGATGTTTTAATGTTTAAGATACCTAATGACATGTGCGTGATGTTTAAATGTTTAAGATACCTAATGACATGTGGGTGATGATTAAATGTTTCTTCATACATATATATATATATATATAGTAATACCGTACATAACGGCATAATTAAGATCATCTCGTTTCCTCGGGCCGTCTTGGTTGTCTTTGTTAGCCTGCTCGCCTCCGAGTGCATGTGGGATGTCATGGGTTCGATTTCTTGCACGATCAATTCAAAAACTTGAAAAGTCAGAATAATGCGTCCGGAAAGAATGACATGTCCTCCTACAAACTTTTTCAGTGTGAGCTAGCACGTTTAAATCTGGCTCAGCATGTCGGTTAAGTACTAAAAGCCTTAGGGTTCATATTCTGAATCATATCACATTAACATGTTCTGGTCCTAATATGCATGCAATAGTTGCAATTTGACTTTAAACACCCTTTAATCATCGTCATCATTATTGTACTCAACCTTTATAGATTGGATAATTTGGGGTTTTTTTTTCATTTTATTTCAGAACAACGGTGCTTTATCTAACGTGTGATAGCAGCACAGAGGGGGAACTTCAGGTACAAGGCGAGATCACACAGGCAACATATGTATGTAAACCATTTGGTGTAAGAAATCAAAAAACCATGCAAAATTATAAAAGATTCCAATTTCACAGTACACGCCTTTTAATTTACTTTCCTTTACGTAAATAACAGCAAATGGAGTAAAATGAGTGTACGTGACAGCTACTTGAATGTGTTCTGTACACAATTATATACAACAGAATTCAAATATCAAAGTAGTTCATCTCTTGTCCAGTGTTTAACATTTTTGTTTCAATGAATGGTATTGTTAGTGACATTTGAATGGTTATTGTGATCATTAAAACAATTTTCCCCTGGTTAGGATGGAGTTGTGCTCAGAAACTTCTATATGTTTGACTTTCCAAAGAACGGGTCACGAGCGTACTTGGTGAATATTCCAGAAACACGTGTTGTGTGCCCTGAATTCTTATAAGTTACGGTATGTTTTGCTATCACTGTTCCTGTTCCAAGGTTGGTTAACTCTCAGTCATCGAAGGTACGTGAACTGTCCGCTCAGTAACCAGCATTTCGATACCTACCGGAATTAGACTTATCACCGGATTTGTACTTACTTGAGCAACACATCGGATGCCACGTGTAGAGAAGGATCTTCTTACACCTCCGGATTACCTAAGATCACCCCCGGTTTCTGATGGAGTTCTTGTTACGTAAGTCTTTGGTTTTCTTTGTTGTGTTTTGTATACTGTTATTTGTCTATTGGTCGTTTTTTGTTTTTTCATGTCTCTGGCTTCAAAACTTTTGGTCAGAGTGAACAGGATAAAATGTTTTCCAAAAACACGTGTCCCGCGCCATGAAATTATATCAGTTGTTTTATTTTCTTCTTCCTAACACTGTATAGTATGCATTTATTGTCTTTTGGCTTTATAAAGTGTTTCGTGTCTTTCTTCGACTTGTGTTTTTTATGACCTTCCTTTTCAAATCAAACGTCCTTGCCATTTATATCTTGAAATATGTATTGGTATCTGTGATCCTTTGGTATTTGAAATAAACATGTCAATCCATAGAAACACTTTCATTGTAAATTGAAATAAAAGTCAAAAGAAGCTTGTTATATTGATATTAAAAGGATAGTTAATTTTGCTATTAACCACCCCCCTTTTCCCCAAAAATAAATATATGTGGAAATTGTTTACAACATCTACATTTCATTCAATATAGCAATGTTCAGTGTGTTCCACGATGCCATGAGCATGATGATATTTTCAGAAATGTTATCGAACACTACAGTCTATTAATTTTGACGTAATATTTCAAATTCAAAATTACGTCACGGTGTTGGTATAACTACTTAAAAATTATATCTGTTCAGATTAAAAAAAAACAAATTTGGAATATCGCATACAAACATTAATTAGTTAGCAGGTCTTAAGAAAAATGTCTTCAACAAATGAGATGATTTCAATTTTCCAAAAGTGAAATTTCCTTTTCTGTGTTACAATATTCCAGCAACCGCTGCATGCGGAGTAACTATTTTCTAGCTGATGCAATATTCCGGGTCTTGATTTTCGTACATGGATTATGATTTACTTGATAGAGGGTTGCTGTTAACAAGGATTAACAACATACGACTTTTTAGACTTTTTTTTGTCTGTTTATACTTCAATTATATTTGTTTTCCTTCAGCTGATGACCTTAACAAGTAAACATGCATGTCCGTTTACTCCATCCTTACTATCGCCTGGCACCATTCTTATTATTGTGTAAGTAGAACAGCAGCCTGGTACCATTCTTATTATTGTGTAAGTAGAACTACAGCCTGGTCCCATTCTTATTATTGTGTAAGTAGAACTACAGAATGGTACCATTCTTATTATTGTGTAAGTAGAACTACAGCCTGGTCCCATTCTTATTATTGTGTAAGTAGAACTACAGCCTGGTACCATTCTTATTATTGTGTAAGTAGAACTACAGCCTGGTCCCATTCTTATTATTGTGTAAGTAGAACTACAGCCTGGTCCCATTCTTATAATGGTTTGTAAGTAGAACTACAGTCTGGAACCTTTCATATTAGTGTGTAAGTAGAACTACATCATGGTACCATTCTTTTTATTGTGTAAGTAGAACTACAGCCTGGTACCATTCTTATTATTGTGTAAGTAGAACTACAGCATGGTACCATTCTTATTAATGTGTAAGTAGAACTACAGCCTGGTCCCATTCTTATTATCGTATAAGTAGAACTACAGCCTGGTCCCATTCTTATTATCGTATAAGTAGAACTACAGCATGGTACCATTCTTATTATTGTGTAAGTAGAACTACAGCCTGGTTCCATTCTTATTATTGTGTAAGTAGAACTACAGCCTGGTCCCATTCTTATTATTGTGTGAGTAGAACTACAGAATGGTACCATTCTTATTATTGTGTAAGTAGAACTACAGCCTGGTCCCATTCTTATTATTGTGTAAGTAGAACTACAGCCTGGTCCCATTCTTATAATGGTTTGTAAGTAGAACTACAGTCTGGAACCTTTCATATTAGTGTGTAAGTAGAACTACATCATGGTACCATTATTATTATAGTATAAGTCGAACTACAGCCTGGTCCCATTCACATTATCGTATAAGTAAAACAACAGCCTGGTACCATTCTTATTATTGTGTAAGTAGAACTACAGCTATGTACTATAGGCAGTAAATTATCAAATAATGAAAGCTAAAATCATTATTCTCAATCAAAACAAGTTGTATAAACCCATAAGTGTTTTTATATGTTATATGTGAGAAGGTAGAGAAAGGCTACTGAAATATATGCCATATTTTAGATCTGTGATATGCACTTACGTATTTACTTTTTGTTTTTTGTTTTATCCTTTTCGTCCAAATAACCAACAACAGATCTACATTCGAGACTTGTCAGGCTTTCCTAACAATTCAATTAAGTGGCGTCCATAACATTTAAATAAAAGATATTGAAGAAAGCTTTAAATGCTTAACATAAAAACTAAGTCTTCCTATCATTGCTTGTAAAACTATTTACAACTAAATTCAAATATATGAATTGCGTTAATCATAAGATAAACTAAATATTAACATAATAATTAAGCTTTCTGAAAGTTAAAACTTTGCATTACCAGATAAGCTTTGAAGTTTCCTTCGTAGGAATATATTTGCAGTACTAAATGTGCATTGTAGTTGTAAATCAAATCTCTAAAAACTTTAGATACACGCTGAATGTCATGTTTTTTTATTACTTATAGATTGGTATGTCTACTTTTTACATACTTTATCGGTGGAATTTTGTATCAGACTTTCTATAAAAAAGCAGTTGGAATAGAGAGAATACCACATGTTACATTATGGACTAGTTTGCCATCATTAGTGAAGGTAACATTCGATAGAACCATTTAGTTGTTCGCCCACACATTTAATAATGTTATGCATCTAGATACATGAGATGAAACATCGCAAAAGTAAGGGTGCCTTCACTGTCTTGTCTTCCTGTTGCAAACACTAAAAAGAGACACTGTAATTTCATCGCTTCTGATGGACCATGTCTAGTTCTTTAAAAGAACACATGTGATTTTGACTATATGCCAATCGCCTGTTTAAATATGACACAGTTCCACTCTGGTTAAATCCTAATAACAAATATATCTGCAAAAAATGAAATACAGAAGCTACGAACGTCAATGTTTACAAGGAAACGAAACGATAATACCACATTCTTATTACTTGAAAGAATACAGGAATGTTTTGAAGGTATTTATAAATAAGAAGATGTGGTATGAGTGCCAATGAGACAACTCTCCATCCAAGTCACAATGTGTAAAAAGTAAACAATTATAGGTAAAAGTACGGCCTTCAACACAAAGCCTTGGCTCACACCGAACAACAAGCTATAAAGGGCTCCAAAATGACTAGTGTAAAACAATTCAAACAGGAAAACCAACGGTATAATCTATATAAAAATCACTTATGAACCACATCAACAAACGGCAACCACTGAACAACAACAGGCTCCTAACAGGTGCATACAAAGGCAGCGGGTTTGAACGTTTTAACAGGCGCCAACAATCACCCTAACCTGAAACAGTAGTGTAACATTACAACATAAAAGACACACTATAAAATATCAATTGAAATGGCTTAACTCGATCAAAAAGACAGATAAAAAAAAAACAGGTAAACATACACTGAACGAATAAGTTTGATCTATGACACAATATAAATAAAATATTAATAAAAAAAGAGTTGTAGAACAATGTCAAAAAGACAACTCCAACCTGGGACAAAATGGCGTCAAATAAAATAACGTACACAGGTAAGTTTAAATATAATAATTTTGTTGTTAGGAGTACGGAAATATTTTTTTCTCAAAACAAATAAATAAATTTGTTGTTCAGAGTACGAGTATGTTAACTATTCTTTTATAAAGAAAATACGGAGTTTGTATTTCAAACACAGACATCATCAATTGGGGTACATTTAGTATTTTTGATTGCACCATAGAAGTACATATAAACTTTTACAGTGATCCATTACATAATTTAAAAGGAATGCATTTACTTGTAATCCTATCATAGAACATAGACGTAAAATTGTAACATGTCACCGTAATGGAATCAAATATGTTTATGCTTTCATTTTAGGAAGGATCTGTCTTTGCGTTAAGTAGAGTTACAGGGAAAGGATACAGTAAGATTTGAGAGTTGAGCATGGACAGTTTTTATCGTTTAGTATGAACTAATACTCTAATAGAAGCATAAAACATCGAGATTTTAACAGCTGAAGTAACATGTGTATAATTATATATTTCAATGTATCAAATATTACGTAATACTTAAAATCCCGGTAAGTGGTTCTTACATCAATAAAAATGTACTGTGGGAAGAGGGTAGCCATGTTAAATGATAAATATGGTAAAATGTATTATGTAATTTTTAACATGCATAGTGATATTAAATATGATATTTCTTATAATGGTGAAACTACTGAATACTTTCCATGTAATTTTGGTGTTAGACAGGGAGAAAACTTATTTCCTCATGTCTTTACACAGTGACAAATAAAATAGGAGAAAAAAATGATAATTACTTGAAACTAGATGTTGTGCTTTACGAAGATGATCCTGTTTTATTTTCTGAAATTGAACATCTTCACCAGCAGATAAATACATTTTGTGAATATTATGAAATATGGAAACTGAAGGTTAATCCAACTAAAAAAATGTTGTTTTTTTTTTGTCGTAATGGCAGATTGTCAAAGAATCTAAAATTTATACTAAATGGTAAATATTTAGAAATTGTGAAGGATATATCATATTTGGGCATACTTTTTCCCGAACGGTTAGCTTACAAGTGCAAAAAAACAAAACCATATAAGAATGATTTCAGAAGAAGGTCAGTGCGATCTTTTTGATGAAATCATTAAACCAATGTAACTATATGGCTGTGAAATTTTGGGTTTTAGTAACGTTGCTTCAATAGAATGGGTCCATTTGAAGTTCTGTAAACTCTTGTTAAATCTGAAAAAATTAACAGCCAGCTCTATGGCCTTAGTCCGGAACAGAAAATGTCAAATATTCTGTATAGATATATTTACAAACCAAACGAAGATAGTAGATATACTTTTGAATGGTTGATTTATATAAATATGGGTTTTCAAATACTAGGATGAGTGAGGGTGATTATAATTTAATCAAAACTAGTTACAGCTGAGCATTAAACAGAGAATATTCGACAAATTTTAGAAAACTTGGCATTCTAGAACAAAACACTCTCCAAGAGCATTATGTTATCAAGTTTCTAAAGAAAATTTTGAATTCGAAGAATATTTAGATTTGTTACCTCATAAAGATAAAAAAGCTTAATGAAGATTTAGAACTAGTGATCACTGGTTACCTATTAAAACAGATGGATGGCTTGGAATTGGTAGACAGGAAATGTACTGTGTACTTTGAACTCTTTTTAGATAGGTGATGTAACTTTTTAGGGTGGGTGATAAATTGCACTATGATCATATTTAAAATTGTACAAGTCTACCTGGAAGCAGAAGAGTTTTTCTAAAATCGTAGTAGTTAAGCCGAGTATATATTTCAAAATTCGGCAGCTTATTTCTTTAACAAAATATTCAGTTATTAGAATATTTGTGTAAATTAATCAGAGTTATCGATACAGAAGTTCGTTCTCAGGTTGATCATCAATTTCTCATCTTTTTGTGCAAGTTTATACATCTGCATTTGACATGCTCATAATCGGTTTTTTTTTATATGTAAAATAAATCATTCTTTATACCATTAACTTGTTTTTATAAGAAATAAAATAATATTGCAAGATTTTGTAGATTTAATTGTTCATCCTTGATTCTTGATTAAACTGAGAACATACGGTATTTGCTTGACTGAATCTGTTAAATTAAGTTAGAAACTAGGTTAACTGAGTAAATATAAATATACGTCATTTCATTTATAAGTAATGTTGTCTTTCAAAAATAACTATAATATTCATTATACCTAAAACTCTACATAAGCTATGCTGTATGGGTTTTGCTCATTGTTGAAGGCCGTACGGTGACCTATAGTTGCAAACCTTCTACGTCATTTTGTTGTCTGGTGGAGAGTTGTCCCATTGGCAATCATACCACCACAACTTCTTATCTTTATATACTAGCATTTATTTTACAATGTTGAGGTAATAACAAAGATGATATATAAAAATGATTAAAATGGCTGGAATTAAATTCTAATGAATAGATGTATGTGTGACATTACTTACATGAGTTATTAGAAATTTTCTATTATATGAGACTTAAACTTATGAGAGTAAAACTGGATGTAAATTTTACTAAAAGACCTTTAAAGGGGCTTAAGCTGAAAAATTTATGTTCACCGATTTGACCTAACTTCTCAGGTTTGATTAATAACACACTAAATCATATATTCATGAAGTCCAAAAGAAACAATTAACAATGCATGGACTCGTTATAATGTTTCAGCTTTTCGAACTTCGACTGTCATATAACCCGATATAAGCATATGTATCAATATTTATAGACAGGTAAGCACGTGCAATCGTATAATGACGATTTGTATATATTAGTTTGATTTTATGCTATTGATTGAAATATACGTATATCATCGTTTTAACTGTATAAGAATTTTTCTTGTGGGCCGGATGAGTCTCCGAAATGGTTATTTTTGGAGTCTCCCTTGTTTCACCTTTCATTGTTGACATCTTTTTCGTTTGAATGAATGAACCCCATGTTAAACACACGCGGAAGGTCAAATTAAAGGTTGCATGAATATAGATTCATATGAGGTTGAATTATTGACTGCTAACAGCGAAATATTATTTCTATATTCCGGCTCCATAAATGTTTGAAATAAAAATAAATCATAATTTTTTTGTCGAATTCGTAGCTTTAAATGCAGTAACAAATAGTTGGAGAAGAATAGAACGGAGGCAATATATAATGTTGTGGACAATTGACAGATCCTGAACATGTCTTGAATTAGATCAAATATATTCCTAACAGTTCGATAAGAAATATCACTTCATATATAAAGACCAAAAAAGTAGTAGTAATACATGACTTTTCTAAAAATCAAAATGACGAAAATAGATAAGATGATACAAAACAGAAATCACCCAAAAAAATAAGAACGACACTAGCAAAGGCTTGATTTACTAGCAATTTAACTTACAAATTTTACCATACAATAGCTACGATGGTAAGCATTGTAAATCAACAGTTCTATTCTGTGTTCTTTGTACAACATATGTTTGGAAACCACTGCTACAAATCCATATTTAAACAAATACAAGCTGTCATCTTGAATATTGCCAGATATTTCAGACCGGTTGGCATTGGAAAAGATGAAACGGAGAAAAGATCCTTTCTCTTTGCCAACAAAGGTATCAATCCACCAACTTAGGCAATATCTTTTATCAAAAATCAGTCCAATCGAAAATACCCCCTACTTTAAAGATCAGTCTATACCTATCATCTCTCATACCTATAGGTGTCAGACCACCAATTAAAGGTCCCTATCTGTTCAACCAAAATTTGCAATTTTCACAGCTTTCTAAATATTTTACCTTAAGTTTAACTTCATAAAAACCAGGTATATCCTGAATTGTACATGAATCAGCTTTATACATGCCAATTTACAACATACCTTTAAAATCATATAAGAAAGAAGAGGCCTCCCGAATAGAGGTACCACTGAAAATAACCCCTGGTTTTCTGGAAATCTTAAATTAGTATACTATGGAGTGCATTAATCTTCAATGTTGAATGCAAACTCATAGACAATTAAATTTTGGCTCAAAATGGTCTTAATATATTTCTCTTTCACCAAAAGTTTCATTTCTGCCAATTTGCTGGTTAGTTTAAGTAAACAATGACATCAGATGCACTATTTTTTGTCCGAATAGGCCTACTTTCACATACGTTCTAAATTGGAGGGAGTAATTGGTGGTCTGACACCTATACCAAACCAATTGCAACTAAATTTTCAATTACAAACACGTGTTCCAGGATCTCATTATTGACGACTTCAAGTCTAAACCTCCTAGGTACACCGGTGCTAGTCCCCATTTCTATATAATACGGCTGGCCACGTTATGTTTGGTGACCTCACCATTGTCACTAACACTTCTCTGCGAAATGTGTTATCAAAAGGACCGAATATAATGAGCCTTAATCCATCGATTGGAAACACAGCTTTTAAATACTAATGGATTCAATCCAGGATTATGCCAAGCAATGGGCTAAACGTGACAAAGAAGACATAGATACTCTTTCCGAATGGGTTAAGGCTGTGAGGTCGTTGATACAAATTAGAATAAAAATACTGAATGGGTCTATGAATACTCATGCAACATCGTTTTTGTTTGTAAATCGCATAAAATAAACTGTTTGATAAAGGAATTACGTGTTGACAATTCATTTAAAAACTTAACATTTTACCCCAAAACACTGACCTAAAAGAAAATCCTGAATAATCATAGGTCTGTTAAACTTCTTGTTTCTTTGGAATTTCAACCAAAGATAAAGAACTGGATCTTCCTTCACTATTTGGATACCTTAATTACATACGTGTCCTTACAATCAACGTTGTATTCCAAGTGCTCCATGAAACTTCTTTCAAAACAATTAACATCAATTTTATCAGCAATCAAAGCCCAGCTTCATAATCATTGTCAAACAACTTACTATAGGGAGCGGGTGAATCAGGTTTCAAAGATCTGTTAGACTACATACAATCTATAGGTATCATTCCTCAACGACTTTTTAATCCTTTATACAAGTTTTCACCATTCCAAACAGATAAAGACAGATTGAAATATTTGAACCAGCTTTGTTTCATTAAAAAGAATGACAAACGTTGATACAAATATCTTGTTTTAGTGATGGATAGATCAAAATTTGTAAAAAAAAAAAAAAAAAAATCTGATTAAAAAAAAAACTACTAGTATCTGAAACTAACATTATCAAGATGCTTGATTTCTTAATTGACAACATATTTATTACGTTTTGAGCACGTGTTTTTTCTTCAAACAATCGGCTTTTCTTGCCAACTTGTTCCTTTCTTCATATGAGGCATACTTCATACAGGAGCTTCTTATGAAGAATGAACGGAAGCAAGCATTATCCTGTATTCATGTTCCGATATATAGATGATGTCCTATCACTAAATGATTCAAAGTGTGGTGACTATGTTAAACAAATCTATCCCATCGAACTTGAAATAAAGGATACTGTTAAGTCTACCTCATATCTTGACTTATATGTTTCCTATCATGATTTCGTTGATAGAGAGTTGCTGCTTACAAGGACAAGGAAGCTATAAAACCAAGAGTTCCAAGTAAAAAGTTGAATTCACTCCTTAGAAAATTTTGCGTACACCATCATGAGTTGGTTAACCGTTATGGAACATCTGTTTCACTGATGACGGATATATTCCAATTGGCTTAACCACAATTCCGTCATTTTATCCGAATGTGACATTATTACAGAACACCGGTTGTTTTCTTACGCGAACAACACGACGGGTGTCACATGTGGATCAGGATCTGCTTACCCTTCCGATCGCATCTAAGATCATCCCTGACTTTTGGTGGGGTTCGTTTTATTCAGTCTCAAGTGTCTTATGTTCTGTTTTGTAGACTGTTGTTTGCCTTTTGGTCGATTATCTTGTTTTTGCCATGTCATTGTCAGTTTGAATATTCCTTTGGTCTCTTCCGTCTCTCCCTTTGGCAAACATTTAAGAAAATAATTGTGGGGACGTATAAAATGCTATCTTTTACTAACAATTAAAAGATAGTTATGAAAAAGCATCGTTTTTATCAGGTTTCAAATCGAATTGTAACTTATTTCATATCGTTGAACTTTTTAATTTCCTCCGCGAGAAATCATGAAAATAATTTTCAATTCATTTTGCATAAATTTTATTTTCAAAAAATTGCATATTTCTTCAACATAAAAACCACGCAGACTGTCTTATTGGTGCATGTGTTTTAAACGCTAAAACGGTCGCATAGTGTACATAGACAGTACATATTTTGGCAACCATACCATTTAAACGATGATTGATACGAGTATTGGATTTCATTAAAATTATTGTAGATAACAAGTAATTTTATATTCCATTTATGGCATTTTAATGTGTATGGTATATGTAATGCATGAATGAAATTTGGGGGGTCTGCATTGGTTTTTTATTACATAGTTTCAACCTTACAGATAAAGATACATCTGTACATGCAACACGATATATACCATATTGAAATGATAATCGGGAAAGGGTAACGTAAGCCGGTTTTTGGATAAAATGTTTTTGATTATTGACATAATGTTGAGTGGCTACAGCGAGAATGCTACTTTTGAATGGATGAACTAGACTCTAAGATGTCTTCCTGTTTTATAAACATTAAGTAGCACTTAAGATCATTGTAAATTTTGTTATAAAAAATACTCAATTTTCAATGTTTTAAGTAACTATTTTTTTTATATATTTTTATCTATCCCACTAATTCGAATGTTTAAAATATTAATCTCCTGTCTCCATTGATACCCCCCATGTGTCGTACATTAAGATTTCTTTTGTGCAGCTTATCCATTTTAATCAGATTTAGATTGAAAACTTTTAATTGTTTTGAAATAATAAACAAAGCATTGTTTATTATACTGGGTCGTGTGTGTGGTATTAACCCATAATATTGTTTATAATCTCAAAACTTATTACGTGGATTAGACTGGAGGGTGGTACATGTATGTGTTTGCTTTGGTACTTCAATTCAAAGAATGTGAGTATGATTGCTTCTTTGCATC